ATGTGCGTGCATGTGCACTGTGTAAGTGTGCTTGTGGTGGCTGGAAGTTGATATTGGCATCTTGATTGCTCTCTATCTTACAGATGGAGACAGGGTCTTTCACTTGATCTCAGAGATTGTTGATTCCACTAGTCTAGCTACATAGATTGTCCCAGGGACTCCTTATCCTGCCTCCAACATGCTGGCACTATTGGTGAGTCACTTTCATGTGGGTGCTGGGCAGGGATTTGAGCTTCAGACTTCACTGTTGCAAGGCAAGTACTTTACCAATGCACCTCTAGGCCAGACAATGCCCCCCCCCCCCCCCCCCCCGCCTCTTTTAGAGGTGCTGGGTTTGGAATCCAGGGCCTTGCACATGCCAAGCAAACTCCACCGCTGCTGGCTTGTATCTGCAGGGCATAATGTCTGCCTTTAAAGTGGTTCATGATAAAGTTAGTAAATAAAGGCAGCGGAATGTGTTCAGTTAGACTGTGTCGATGCTGTGCTGTGTGTAATGTAGAACAGATGACATCAAAGTGGAGCGAGTCACCTTCGTTGGAGAAGTTTTTGTGAGCTTTTGGAAGGTGTGAAAAAGTTTTGGGATGAAAATAAGTAATCTGTTCCTTTGCCCCACCCACTTAGCCCCTCATATGTTAAAAGAAATGATTAGTGTTTAAAATGAAGAGATGCCTCTAAGATTCTGTCTTTTCAGACATTCCCCAGAGAGAATTTGTGTTCTGAAAATACTCCAAAACCTCAGGGCCCAGGAGTATGGTTTGGTAGTAGGGCCCTTGGGTTATCACATGGGAAGTGTTGGTTCAATCACCAGCAATCACTGTAAAGAAAAATCAGTACCATGAACCAGGACCATTCATGGATGGTGGCTATTACAAGGCCCGTCTCTGGATGTTTCTTTGTATTTCCCCATCTTTACCTCAGGTCTAAGATTGGATATAAAAGCTAATTTTAATTTAGAGTAAAGGAAATTGAGGCTACCACTGGTTCTGCTCTGCCTATTCCTCCTCCAAGGACAAATTGAAAAACAAATTCAAGTGCCCAATCTGGAGGCAACTGCAGCACCTCATCCTCACTATGTGGCCCAGGCTGGCTTTGAACTATCTATCCTTCTGCCTCAGCCCCTCGAGTGCTGGGATTAGAGGCCTTTGCTATAGTTTTGAGCTAAGACACAGGAATTACAGGAAAAAAAATTCTCAGTTCTTGTTATGTTACAGGTTTCTTGTTTATACCTTTGAAAGGAAAAATTTATGCAATGGTACTCAGAGGTCTGTTTGAGTGTGTTCATTTCATTGTTGTTCATTCATCAGTCGGCTGGGGGCCTAGAGCAACATAAATGACTGACACTGGGCCTACATCACCTGGACTTCAAGAAGAAAGTGGACGTGTAAGGCCATTACATCATATTATGAGGAGTCCTATGAGGGAGATTTGGAGGTTCTCACATTGTTCTGTGGCAAAAATAAAGCAGAGCTGCCAACAACCAAAAACTAATTTTAACCTTTGGTAGGGCTAATGATGATAGCTAAGCTTTATAGAGTCTTTGGAAGAATTAAGTCTTTGGAAGAAATCTAAGCTTTAAATGAGCAGATCTTCCCTGTGAAGGAATGTTATTATAAACATTGTTTTTGTGCTGGGATTGAACCCTGGGCTATGCATGCCAGGCACATGCTCTACCACTGAGTTACATGCCTGGATGAGCTAGTCTTTTCATTTTTGCAAATGAGCAAACAGATAATGAAGAAATTGAGTGCTTTGGTCAGAAAGTCTGATCACAGAGCTGTTATCTAGTCCTTGAAAAGAATAGGCTGAGGGGCTGAGGGGTGGCTCAGCAGTTTGGAGCACTGGCTGCTCTCAGAGAACCTGGATTTCATTCCCAGTACCCACATAGTTACTCACAACTGTCCATTGCTCCAGTTCTAGGGAATCGTGTGCCCTCTTCTGGCCTCTGGAGGCACCAGACACGCATGCAGTGCACTTACATACACACAAGCAAAACACTCATATGCATAAAAAGTAAAATAAATACATCTTTGAAAAAAGGAACAAGCTGTGCTCAGCTTGATATATATATATATATATGTGTGTGTGTGTGTGTGTGTGTGTGTGTGTATGTGTGTATGTATGTATGTATATATATGTGTGTATGTATATGCTCCTAAACTAGGGTCCTTCTTTGCATCCAGTTGGTTGTTTTGTTTATTTATTTACATACTTGTATTTGGAGATAGCATCTTTTTGTGTTGCCTAGTCTGGGCTCAAATTCTTGGGATCAGCTGATCCTCCTCCCTCAGCTTCTGAAGTAGCTGAGGCAATAATTGGATGCTATTGTAACTGGTTCGCAGCTCTCTTTTATAGGCAATTGTGCATATGTGGTGTTGTTTCACTCTTTAGCTCCTCCCCCTCCCTATTCTGCTTTTCTTGATGTTAGGAATCGTGTCTTATTTGTTACAGATTTCCCAGTATGTAAGGAGTTTTGAATTATTTAGTTGATTCAAATGTTTTGAAATCAGAGTGAGAAATTCTTTGAGGACGTATTAATACCTTTGTATCACTTTTACTGGCACTTTGGAAAAATTAGGTATTTAATGTCTGTAGAGTAGATAGGTAAAATTACTAATGTTTTTAATAGGGATGAGCTTAATGATTCTAAGGATTGTGTCATTTCTTTTTATAATAAATACATCATGAGCTCATGTCCATTTAGTTAATTTTAGATTCTGTGATTTTGGATTTTTCTGGATTTATATTTTCACAGTTCATTGAGTGCTTTTTGACCTTTTTTTTGTTTTTGTTTTTGTTTTTGTTTTTCGAGACAGGGTTTCTCTGTGTAGCTTTGTGCCTTTCCTGGAACTCACTCTGTAGACCAGGCTGGCCTCCAACTCACAGAGATCCTCCTGGCTCTGCCTCCTGCTGGAATTAAAGGCGTGCTCCACTACCACCCAGCTTAAACAGTAGACTTTTTTTTTTTTTTTAATTTTTCAAGACAGGGTCTCTCTGTGCAGTTTTGGTGCCTGTCCTAGATCTCGCTCTATAGACCACGCTGGCCTCGAACTCACAGAGATCCGCCTGCCTCTGCCTCTCAAGTGCTGAGATTAAAGGTGTGCGCCACCACTGCCCAGTCTGAGTGCTTTTTAATACATAAAAAATAGTTGTAGACTGTGAAAAAGGGACAGAAGGATTTAGGATCCAACTGTCCCCTCTCTCTTCTGATTAACATTTGGACTCTGTTATCTTGTGTTGTATTTAGTAATAAACACTTGGATTTAAAGTTTGTGTATTTAAAATAAAATTACTTCCATCACATTCTGTTATACTTTGTATGGATGTCTAAAGTTATATCCACACTTCTAATCTTATGCTATTTGGTATTAAAATATTTTCATATTTGGGGCTAGAGAGATGGCTCAGTGGTAAGAGCAGTTGGTGATCTTGCAGAGGATTTAGGTTTGGTTCCCAGAACCCACATGGTGGCTCACAACTCTAGTTCTAGAATCTAATGTCATCTTTTGGCTTTCTGGAGCAGTTAAGCATACGTGTAGTGCCTATACAAATGTTCAGGCAAAATATGTTTACACATAAAAAATTAACTTCTTGAAATGAATAAATAAAAATAAATCAAAAAGTATTTTTATACTATGACAAAACCAAGCTTATCTGTTAGTTGGGTTCAATGGTAGTTCCTTGTCTTATGTTTGCAGACTTCTAATGCAGCTTCTAGAGGAGGTTGGCTATGATTTGAATTTTGTAGAATAGAAAGTATTTTGTTAAAAGAGAGTGAGTTTCAAGTCTCCATGTAGGTTTTGTATCAAGGAGTGAAGTTGCCAATGGTAAGCTGTGCTTACAAACTGTCTAAGGAAATTGCCAAGATGATAACTGTTCTTGGACGTGCTTTCCAGTCTTTTGACGTCTTAGCCATGTTGGGATTTAATAAGTGATAAGGCCTTTTTGTCCTTGTGACTATTATTTTAGTGAATATTTTCATTCTTTTTACCAGAGTATCTCTATTTTCTTCATTTTCATTCTCATATTCTTGGCTTCTGTGCTATCAGTGTTTGTGAGAGCAACACCTTTGTCTCATACCTGAATATCTATGACAATGGAGCAGGGTTTCAGTTTGCCTTATGTAGAAAATGATATCTCTACTATTTTAATAGATGTTTAAAGAAAAAACTCATTGAGGTTGAATTAAGGTCAATTAGGAAGGAGTTATGTCTAAATTTGGATTAGAAGATCTTGTGACTGTCTCCAGTATCCTGATATTATTAGCCTTGGCTTTTCTGATTGAATGGTTCATTTCACATACCCCTGTGATCTCCTTGGAGAAAAACAGCAGACCTGTACGTCTTTTCTTCCCCATTATGTAAACAGTAAATCGGAGTGTTTGTTCTTCTTTAAAAAACCATGTATGGAGAACCTAATATTCATGTGTTGTTTGGATTATGGCCCAAGATATGGAAGTAAATCTTAGCAGGTTTGTGGGAACATATCAGTTATAGCTTTCCTAAGATCTTGTTCCTCAAGATGAGATTATTTTGGGTGAACATTTAGCTGTAGAATCTACTGAGTACTTAACCTGTTTTGGTTTGGTTGGTCTTGGCAGTTTGTGTGTGTGTGTGTGTATGTGTGTGTGTTAATGAACACATGTGTGGTTGTCCATGAGGAGGGCAGAGAGTGACATTGGATGTCTTCCAGTATTGCTGAGTCAGCTAGATTGGCTTTCCTGTAGGCCCAGGGATCTTCTTTTCTCTGCCTCCCCAGAGCACCACTACAGGTGCATGCTACCGCATCTGGCTTTTATGTTGAGTGTTAGGGATCTGAACTCAGGTCCTCAAGGTTGTGCTGCAAGCACTTCACTGAATGAACTGTGTCTCCAGCCCCAGTCATGGTATTTTAATGAACATCATTTTATATATATATATATATTCCTACCTGAGTTACCACAGTTACACCACACTCTCATTTCATTAAAACAGAAAACAAAATAATATTTTTCTTTATTTCAGAAATCTTGGATTGAAGGGGTATTCTACAAGAGAGAATGTAGCAAATTCATACCCAGCTCAAAAGACCCTCACAGGTACAATTTTAAATTACATTCTTTCTTTTTACTTCAAGTGCTGTTTGAAGAAATTTAGAAATATCACTTATGCAGAGTGTTTAATGATAGCTTGAAGTGACAGTATTTTATCATTTCAATGTGTTTGTTCCTGTGCTCCATAAAAGCATGCCATGAAGACTGTAGAAAATCTAGTAAGAGAAGGAACCGTCAGTTTCCTATGATAGCCTCAGTGCTTGTCGCCAATATGTTCCTGTTAAATGTCTGTTTAAAGAAGTAATCAACTCAAAAGAGGAAAAAAATTGCATATAATAACAGCACTTGCTTGTTGCACTGTGGTGGGTTTCACTCCGCGTGGTACTGCAGTTCCCCTTGGAGGCAGGACAGATGTCATAGGGCTATAAGGCTGTAACCCACCAAGTTAGGGCAAATGATTTTTACTATCTCCATACTGAGTATTCAAAATGCGGTGACTATTCTTTATCCCAACTAAAGCATCCTTGGGAAATGGTGACTGTTGAGGGAGGACGTGTCAGGGACATTGGAGACTTAGTTGTGTTTGCTCCTGAGGCTTTGTGTTTATGCAGATTGCAGGCGGCAGGGCTGAGTTAGAGAACTCCACGTTCTGGACAACCCTATGGAAACTCTCCTTGTAGGAACAAAGTTCAGCAGCTGGAGAAATGGGGGAAGAAAGGTCTACGGAAAATTCCTCAGGGTAATCAGGTCTGTGAGTTAAGACCGGATGTCATTGCCCTGGTGGAAAATTGATGGGGAAATGTAAGTATTTTAATTAGGGTAGCTAAGTCTATTTTAGATCCCCTTAAGCCATTGGCCTTACATTCATTTAAAGTTTAGATGTCATGAGTACATGCTTATGAAGGAAAGCATGGTAAGGTCCTTTGGCAAGGACTAAAATGGTGTTCTTTGCCTTTGTTAAACATTGACTGGTCCCACCCTCACTGAATTACCTATGGTTGGTAAGCTCTGTGATTGGAAATTCTCATTTTACCTGTTTACAAAGTGTTTACAGGATGCCAAGGTAACACTGTTTTTTTTTTTTTTTTTATTTCCATTCATCTTTTATGGGATCATGTGACATGACACTCATTTCACTTCTTTAAATGGAAAGTCATCTTCATAATTACCTTGGACCTCAGGAAGAGTGACAAAATGCCAAGTGTGGTTAGCCTTAAGATGAAAGGAGAATGTTAAATCTGGAACAGAACTCAGTGTTAGAGCATGCATTTAGTGTGCATGGGGCCCTGCCATCAATTCCCAGCATCAGAGAAAAGAAAATCATTGGGTACATATTTAAGATAGGGTATCAGTATGCAGTCTGTGCTGGCCTTAAATCCACCATTCTCCTGCCTCAGCTTCCTGGGTACTGCAACTACAGACATGTGCCACTATACCCGACTCCACTGAACATAATTCTATGAAAGATTCAAGACTTCCTACATTTTATGAAGGAAAAAAATCAGTCTCTATGTGTGATTACAAAAAATTTAATAGATGACCATGATCATTCCTCTTATATTGTCTGTTTTCTTGGGTTCTAGTAAGATTCTCAAGAAAAATAGCGTTTGTGTGTTTTTGTCATGAAGTAGTGTATCTGTCACCTCTTCACCCTTGAGATGAAATACCTGACACAACAGGCAGGAGGGACTTGTTTTGACGTTCAACTCTGGAAGGTCTCAGCACAGCGTGCAGGGTAGACCACTTTGTCTCTGTGTGTGGTGGCATCTTGTTGACATTATTCACACCAGGAAACAGATTGGAGCGAGTGGTAAGTCATGACCTTCAAGGGCCTTCCATCAAGTGAAATATTTCTGCCAGTCAGGCCCCACCTCCTAAAGGCTGTCCACCTTCACACAGCACCACAAACTGTGGGGTGGACATCAAACATTCAAACATTAACCTGGGGTGGGGGTGGAACCAGATTCAAACTGTAAGACTAGGATTTCACTATTTTATACCAATACAAATTTCTCTCTTCTATTAAATCTTTTTTTTTTTTTTAGCTCCTAATAAGAAAACAAATCTAATAGGCTTGATTATAACTTCTCTTTTTTCCTTCTTATTTTTAAGAAAAGACACAAAGGTTGGTGCAGGAAAAAAATGAAGGTTAGAATGCCAGGTTTTAAACAGCTTAGAATGATCATTGTTTTATGAACAGTGTCTTTTTTTTTGTTGATTAATTACAGTTTTTAAACATTACTTTACACTGACCATATGATCACTCATGAGTAAATCCTGGAAGTTTTTCTGAAAATTAAAGAGGAAAACTAATGAGGAAAAGAATTATACTCATATTAAGTCCCAAATAATTTTACAGATTCAATAAAGTACTCATCATGAAATATTTTTTAAGGGATTTGAAAAAATTCATATGGATATATATGTGTCTAGAGAGGTAAAACAATTTTAATCCTTCTTTTTCATTTATTTATTTATTTATTTATTTATTTATTTTGACACTGGAGGAGGAATATAGGACTTCACATACTTCCCAGCCAAGAAAAGTAGACCAGTATTTAAAAGAAGACTAAAACATAGAAGACTTGCCTTTGAGATGTCAATGATGCATTACCAAGCAGCAGTGATGAGAACTGAGTCCAGAGCTCTGTGGCAGAGCCTAGAACGTGCAAGGCTTTGGATTCCATTCTGAGCACTATGCCAAACAAGTAAACCAAAGCAAACCAAACAAAACCAAATTAAACAAACCAAACCAAATCAACTAAAACAACCCAAAACCAAACCAAACTAAGACAACTAAACTAAACAAAATCAAAGCAAGCCAGATTAAACTAACCAAACCAAACTAACTAAACCAGCCAAACTAAACCAAGCCAAACCAACCAATAAAAACAATCAAACTAACCAAACAAACAAATAAAAAAATGCTCCAACAAAACAGTGTTATGAAACAGAGTGACATTTGGCACTCCTGTCTAATGGAGGATCAATTGATATTGTTTCACACACACACACACACACACACACACACACACACACACACACACACACACACATTGAGACAGTGTCTCTTGCAGCCCAGGATGATCTGGAACTCAGGATGTCACAGAGTATGACCTTGAACTTCTGATCTTCCTCATTCCACCTCTGGAGTGTAAGAATTATAGGTGTGTTCCTTCATACCCAGTTTATAAGGAACTATGGATAGAATCCAAGGCCTCTTTTGTGCTAGGCAAGCTGAGGGAGCTACATCACCGGTCGGTCCTGTTTTATGACTTTAAAATATTTTAAAATATGTTTTATTACTTGATTTCCTGGAGTTCTGTGTTATCTTCATTGTTTAGTAATTATAATAACAATGATATCAACAATAATCATAATACCTACCTATCATGGTTAGCCTCCATCACCAGCTTGACTGGATTAAGAATCACCTACTGAATTAATGAGGCACACTTCTAGGTGTGTTTATGAGAGTGTTCCCAGAGAAATTTAACTGAGGAGGAAAGACCCACCCAGAACATGGTTAGTACATTTCCCATAGGCTGATCCCAGAATGAATAAAAGAGGAAAGGTTGTGAACCAGCGTTCCTGTCTCTGGTGCCTGATTGCTGATGCAGTGTGAGCAGCTGCCTCTCACTCCCACCTTCATGACTTCCCACCTCGATGGACTGTGTCCCCTCAAACTGTGAGCCAAAATAAACCCTTCCTTCCTTAAATTGCTTTTATCAGGGATTTCGTCACAGGGGTGAGAAAAGTAACTAATGTACTTTTATTCCATGTACTGCAATGTACCAGGTGGCATGAGCTACTTCAGATATATTAAGATAATCCTTCTTATCACCTTATGGGGGTCAAAAAGGGTTTGAAATTATTTCTAAGTGTGAGATCTAGGGCTTAGAAGAATTACTGAATCAATGATGTTCAAATTTAGGTATTTTGGTTTCATAGTCCATGGTTTCTACAGTATAATTATACATAGGAGATGATATGGAAAGTAAATGATGCATGAATATTTGGCAAATTCCAATTTTCAGACTGTGAAAAATGATATTTACTAGATCAGCATTAAGTTCTTATCACACATATCGGTAAACTAACAATGCTTTTGTTTCTTTAATTCAGATGCACTCAAGGCTGCCAAGTCTGCCAGAATTTAGTCAGGTGAGGCTTGACAAATCAGCTTCTTTTCATTTTAAGGTGGTGTGTTGAAAAGTGCTTGGGAGAGTTTCTTCAGATCTCCAGATTTTTTTTTTTTTTTTTTTTTTGAGTTTCTAGCAGGGGAGCTCAACGCCTTGTAAATCTTAGACTGAGGAACAGTCTCCTTTTTCTGGGAAGGTTGTCACTTCAGTGGAGCACAAAGCTTTGGGAGGGACACCAATGGAACATTGAGGGGGAAACTGGACACCCTTGAAGTGGGCTGGATCAGGGGAAATAACTCTGTTGATTGATGGGTTTCAGAAGTTGAATGGACTCAGATTAAGGCACCTGTTATTTTCTCTGAAAAAGATGGAGGTATAAAAGGGGTGTGTGTGTGTGTGTGTGTGTGTGTGTGTGTGTGTGTGTGTGTGTGTTCATTCTTCTCTTGCTTGCTTGAGCATGATACTTGAATCTACTAGAAGTCTCTACTAGAGTTATTGAGACATGCAAACATCTTAGGATATTTGACAAGAGCTTTTACCACCTAAAACATGTATGAAACATTACATTTTATTTTGCTATCACATTGTATTTGGATAAAATGTAGCTCTGTGTTGCATATGCAAGTGAGGTATTTGACATGAGTTGCACCTGTTGTATTTGCATAAAAACAGGCAAAACACCCACACTGCACAATAAAGTAAACTTTGCAGTGCTGTACACATTTTAACAGTCATGCACATTTTAAAGTAGGTGTCATCAAGTGGGTTTACCCTTCCTTTTTGTCAGTGGAGCAAAATAAAACTTCCTTAATTCTGACCATACCCTAAAGCTTGTGAGTTTAACCAATGCTAACTTTAACTTTCATATTATTTGATTTTTATATTTTTAAAATTTGAGATAGAGTCTTGGGGTCATGTTAAATTGCCTAGGGTGGACTCCCATTTCTAATTCTCTGGTCTCAGTCTAAGTAGTAGCTGAGATTGTAGGTGGTGGCCATCACCACACTTGACCTACTGGCTTTTTTTTTTTTTTAACATGGTCTCCTGTAGTTTAGGCTATTAAACTTGTCATGTAGCTAAGGATAAACTTGAACTTTTGATTCTCCCCCTTTATAGTGCTAAAATTATTGGTGTATACACCATACCTGATTTTTGTAGTGTTGGAGATCAAACCCAGGGCTTCTTTCATCCTAAGGCAAGCACTCTACCAATGGGGCTATTGTTTAGCCCTGTATTTGCATTCTTATTGGTGAAAGTTCAGGTTACTTAGTCATTTATAGAATTTTAAAATTATGAACAGAAAAACGATGAACAATTTGGTGCACTTGTAATTTCACTTCTATCATGACTAATATTTGCTATGTGGATTGATATGAACATATAATATTATTTATAAGTGAATATACATATATTGGGATCCATGCTAAGCGTTTCTGCCTTTGATAGAGTGGACTTCACATGTTTTACTCTACACCACATTATTAAACATTTTGGGTTATGCATGCCAATATATATTATATAAACATATACTACTGTATTAAGAAAGTAAAGAGTTATAAAGTGAAGGGAAAAGGTAGATGAAAAACACTGAAGCACTTTATCAATAGAAAAGCTTTTGTTTCCCTCACTCTCAACTACTTTTACTTAAAGAAGGTAGAGTCATATCTGATGGCATCCTACTGTAGTCTAACTACATAGGAGGCTGGGGTAGAAGCATTTGAATGTAGAACTTGTAGTTCAAGACCAGCCTGAGCATCCTGGTGATATTCCATCTTAAAAAAACCTGGTGCCAGGGAAACTCCCAGGAATCCACAAGGATGATCCCAGCTAACACTTCTAGCAATAGTGGAGAGGGTGCCTGAACTGGCCTTCTCCTGTAATCAGATTGGTGACTACTCTAATTGTCATCATAGAACTGGGCCGAGCTCCAGGAGTCCATTGAAGAGAGGGAAGAGGGATTATATGAGCAAGGGGGTCAAGATCATGATGGGGAAACCCACAGAGACAGCTGACCCAAGCTTGTGGGAGCTCATGGAATCTAGACCGACAGCTAGGGAGGTTGTATGGGACCGACCTGGGTCCTCTGCATGTGGGTGATAGTTGTGTATCTTGTTCTGTTTGTGGGGCCCCTAGCAGTAGGACCAGGAGCTGTCTGTGGAGCATGAGCTGGCTTTTTGGAACCTACTCCCTATGGTGGGATGCCTTGCTCAGTCTTGATGTATGGGGGAGGAGCTTGGTCCTGCCTCAATTTTATATGCCATGCTTTGTTGACCCTCATGGGAGTCTTTACCCTTTCTGAATGGAGATAGAGGGAGAATGGATGGGGGGAGGGAATGGGAGGAGACAAGGGAGGGGAAACTGTGGTTGGTATGTAAAATAAATAAAAAATTAATAAAAAAGGCCAAAAGAATAAACAAAACAACAGAAGATAGAGATGATGTAAATTCCAATTATATGTATTTATGATCTTCTTTCACGACATTGCCGACAGAGTGTATAACAGTGTTAAGAAGAAGCAGGGGCTGGTGAGATGGCTTGCTGGGTCAAGGTGCTCACTGCCAAGTCTGGTGAACTGAACGTGAATTTTTAAGAGTTCTCAATACATGACATCTATACATTGATCTGAGGATTGGAAATATTGCACCAGTTTTCTATTCTAAGTGACTGTTTTCCTGAATTTAGGTGTTACTGTGGCCGATTGATTCATGAACATCATGGGCTAGATTATGCCTGGAGCCTCTCAGCTGTTGAAGGCAGTGGAAGTGAACAATGGTCTGTTGAGAAGCACACAGTGAAAAGCCCTACAGATACCTTTGGCACCATTAATTTCCAAGATGGAGAACATATCTACCACTCCAAGGTCTGATGATAAACCAAACTACTATTTCACTAGTTTTGAATAGAAAAGGCCTTACAAGTGGACTTCTAAGGAGAGAGAGCCACATGGTGTGGATTTATTGCAAAGGGATCCATGTTATTGATCCATTGTCAAATCTAGCCGGGTCCTCCCATCCCTTAGGTATGAGGGGTATTATCTGCATCTCAGGTGTAGGGTTAGGTCCAGATGGGTGAACAGATGACAGTCTAAGTAGGCTGTAGCAGCAGTGGGGACTGATATGAGCTGAAGCTCTTGGGGCAGTTACAAGTTCCCTGCTTGTCAGTCCCTTGACGCACACGGAGGGTGGCCAGATGACACACCAGTAGGGTTCATTATCATTTTATTGTTAGGTGGTTTCTGCATTGTGAGGTCCAGGGAGGGTAGTATACCCTTTCTTCAGTATGCTGTCTCTAATAGTTCTCAAAATTAGTTTTCTTGCATGACTGTAATCCAGCTACGTGCTCATGTGGCCTTGGTGAACTTTATAAATTCATAGAGTAGCACTTTTTTAAACTTTAGGGTTATTTGTCAGTGTGTTCCTTGTGGGTGGTGCCAGAGAGATGGCACTGTTTATGTGGCCACCAAGGTGCAGAGTCTGCATTTGCAGGCGAAGTGGAGTCAACTAGTGCTTGTAAAGTGGAATCTCTCAGGGCAAGGTGCAGCCTGTAACACTGCAGTTTTACACAACATGCAGTGACTTTGGGCAGGTCACAGCCTGGTTTTAACAGCAGCCAGGGAGAAATAGGGAGTATGGACAAGGGTAACAGTACCCCTAGTGACCTAGCTTCTTTCCATTAGGCCCCACCATCTACAGCTTCTCCCCTGTCCCATTAATGCCATGGGCTGGTGAGTAGGAGTTAATGGGGTGCTTTTGGGGACACTGCAGATCTAAACTGTAGCATACAGTGTTACCTGGTCAACTGTCCCTCAGGTGCACTCTTCTGAGAGCAGTCATCACCTTCTGTTTTATGCACCTGATTCCCCAAGTGGAGCAACCTCAGGCAAGCTGAGGGACAGTCAAGCTCTGGAGGCCACTGTCAGAAGGCAGATTTAATAAAGTTGCAGTACAGCTCTACAGGAATCTACATTTAGAGTTACTCATCCTCTTGCATTTAACTGCCCATGCTTATTTCTGTTTTAGTTGGCAGAAAAAAAATCCCCCTTATTTCCTGATCCCCTTTGGAGCCTAATTCTTAGAGAACCCTGTGTGCAATTTGACACTCTTTTCTTTTGTTGTTTGGTTTGTTTGCTTGGTTTGGTTTTTCAAGACAGGGTTTTTCTGTATAACAGCCCTAGCTGCCCTGGAACTCACTTTGTAGACCAGGCTGAACTTGACCTCACAGAAGTCTGCCTCCCAAGTGCTGGGATTAAAGATGTGTACCACCACCACCTGGCTTGCTGTTTTTTTTTTTAAAGACATTTATTTATTTATTTTCTTATTATGTATTTGTGTGTATGTGTGTCTGTGTGAGTGTATGGTATATATGTGGGGTACTGGTGGAGGCCTTGGGTGCCCTGGGGCTAGAGTTATAGGTTGTTGTAAGCCACTTAATGTAGGTGCTAAGAACTGTACTTGAGTTCTCTGGAAGAACAGCAAGTGCTCTTTACCACCGAGCACCCCCCTCTCCCCCCTCTCTCTCTATGTCTGTCTTTATTTCATTGTTAATGTTTGTTTGTTGCAGTACTGGGGATCGAATCCAGGATCTTCTGTGTGCAAGCCAAATACTCTATTATTGTACCATGATCCCAGATAGTGTTTATTCTTATCCACCTTTATTTATTCCTTTTTTTTCTGTGCACACATTACTTACCGTGTGCCTATATACTCCTTATGGTCCAAAAAGAGTAGGTTTTCTGTTTTAACATTGCTTGGCATTTGGGGAGGGCAATAGGAAATAAAAGTGGAGGATGCTATGTGAACAGGTTCTTTGAGCGAATGCAAAAGATAACCCTTTCTGTCTCAGTGAGAGGACACAGTGTGCAGTGAGAAAGGCATTCAAAAGTAGAGAAAACAGGCTCGGGTGTTAAGCTGAGATCTGAAGGTGAACAAGGTGAATGGGTCCAATGAAGCTGTTGCTTGGCTTGGACAAAGGTCAAAGAACAATCAGGAAAATTGAAAATGTAGCTAGACTTATCTCCTGACAATTAGCTGGGTTTTTTTTCTTTAAATTTGTTTTTATTTTATGTGTATGGATGGTTTGTCTGTATGTGTGTCTGCGTACCACATGTGTACTTGGTGCCCATGGAGGTGGGAAGAGAACATCAGATCTCCTGGAACTGGAGTTACAGATGGTTGTTGCTCTCCATTTGGGTGCTGGGAATTGAACCTTCACCCTCTGGAAGAGCAGCCAGCAACCACTGAGCCATTTCTTCAGCTTGACAGCTAGCTTATTTGACACTCAGCTTCCAGCTGTCGTTCTTGTGTATCTGAATGCATCTTACTCCATGTCTCAGCAGAGTAGGGCTGCCTGAGCTTCCTCCATCCTTCAGGTCTGAGTTGAACAGCACCGCAGCTTGAGAGAGACTGTGTTGCAGTTTCCTTCTCAGAGACCCTCCCACCTCCCCCCCCCCCCCCACGCCTCATTCTACAAAGGATCTGAGAGAGTGTGCCTATAAGGTTCAGTCTGGGGAGTGAGTTACTTATAAGGGAAATAGAAGAGAGACGTTCAGTTGGCCTTTAGGTGGAAAAGTCAGTCCTAATAACAGTTCTTTGAGGATGTTTCTCCAAAGAACAGTATCTTCTAGTATGGGGAAAGATTTAGAGTTGAAGGCAGGCTTACCTGAGAGAAGAGCTGGGGCACAAGCAGGTGAATGGAACCCAGGCTCCACCTTTGCCTGTACTCACCCAGTACTCTCACCCACAAAACCACCTCCTAAGGGTCTGCCTGTGTTTGTCCTGCTACTGTCGTGTGCTGTAAAGCCTGGCAGCTCAGTGGCATCTCTCGTACATGGAATCATGCATGATCTTCCTTCTATTCTTCCTGTTACATGTGTATTTTGATAGCTGTACAGCCCTGGTGGTCAGAAATTCTATTATTTTAGTTATGAAATGAAGTGGTCCTATATTAACAAGTTCAAAGATGAATAGCAAACTACTTTGTTATCATCATTTTAGAGGGTACTGTGATAACTTACACTTGCTTGTGTGGAGAGTTCCATCCATGCTTTCTTTTGGCATAGACCTGTAATTCATGGTTTCCTAATGCCCTCCTGTTTGTTTGTTTGTTTTTCATAATCCTGGCTTATTCCTGTGGTTGGTTGGGCTTCTGTTCGAGGTAGGCGAACTCACCACACTGTGCAGAACTTAAGTGGCCTGTAGCCAGTTGTGCCTGTAATGTCAGACCAGCTGCAGTGACTCACTGGCTCTCCTAGGTGTGACCTCACTGGTCTTTTCTTTGGCTAGCAGTATCAGGGATCAGTGTACTTACTTTATAAAGAAAGTTTTCTCAGCGGGATAATGGTATGCAAAGAAGTTGTTGGTAGGTAAATTAAAAACATGATATAGATACTCATGCTCCTGAATTTTTAAAGTGTCTACAAATATATGAAAGGGATCAAGTAAATGCAAAGTCATGGTATTTATGAAAAGTCGCATTTCATCTCCTTTATAAAGCTCTCTCCCAATGGCTTCACTGATGTTATGATAAAGTATTTTTGCCTTACCTCCAGCCTTCTTATGAACCATGGAGGCCAAACCTCCAAACAGAGGAAGTTACCCTATAGTGGTTTATAATTCCCAGAAGGAAGTTGGAGGGAGTATGGAGCCCTTAAAAAAAATATTTCCATTAGGTGAAGTTAAACTTCCAGAGAGGCCCTGAATACTTTCTGGCCAGGCTATGGCCACCCTAGTGACTCTGCTGTGTGTTCATTTTCTCTACTGACTTGCATGTTTCACTGTGTTCTCTTCATGGGTCTATACTGTCCTTCCAGTATATTAGAACTTCTTATGATACAAAATCGGATCACCTGTTGCATTTGATGTTGAAAGAATGGAATATGGAGCTGCCAAAGCTTGTGATCTCTGTCCATGGGGGTATCCAGAACTTCAAGATGTCCTCTAACCTCAAAGAAGCCTTCAGCCAGGGTCTGGTCAAAGCTGCAGAGACCACAGGAGCATGGATAATTACTGAAGGCATAAACTCAGGTAAAGATCATGCCTGACTCCTCCCCCACCCTTCCCCTATCTAAGCATGAGCCAAATAGCCTGCTATCAAATTCCTTCTCTGTAGCACTTGCAGATGTTGATGTTAGGGAGAAAGACAAACCAAACCAAGCCAAAAAACCCATCCCCCATACAGTGGTCTCTGAACCTCATGCTTTATATACATCAGAGTTAATCTGCAGGGTATTTTATGGGCACATTGGAGAACACTAGAATGCTCATGAAGTCAAGCAGTGCATGGAACATTCTAGCCAGGCAAAAGTAGTGACCGTGTTAGAAATTGGTCAAGAAAGGGGAGAATTATTCAGGTCCTGGTCCAGCGGCAAAAGGGAGAGAGATTAAGAGAGGAGAGAGACAGGCAAGAAGCCAGCATCCAGTTCCGCTGTGCTAGGAGCCTACCTTAAGAATGACTTTTTTCATATGGTCATCTGCTTGTCTGTGAGAGTCATTGTTCTTAGTCTGTGAGCTGAAATTTGACTTCTGCTCTGGTTGTTTCATAGGAGTGTCCAAGCATGTTGGTGATGCCCTAAAAGCCCATTCCTCTAAGTCCTTGAGGAAAATCTGGACAGTTGGAATCCTTCCTTGGGGTGTCATTGAGAACCAGAGAGAACTAGTTGGAAAAGATGTGAGTAGACAATCCTTTCATAACAAAGGAGAAGGAAATGTATCTGAACTGCTTTCTTTACAATGTACCCAAATGTCTGATAAGACACCTCAAATATGATAAATCCCAAACTAACATTTGCCTTCCTATTACATCTGTCACCCTATCTCACAAAATGACAGTTCTGTCTTGCAACTGCCTAAGCCAAAAACCTTGGATTAAGTTTAGAGTGACCCCTTTTGTGTTATGCCTCAAACCTGACCTGCCAGTAAACTCTCAGCCCTACCTTCAGAATATAACCAGAATCTGCCTTTTTCTTTTTCTCTCTCCCATCATTGAGGTTGGTCCAAATGGCCAAGCTCTGACACCTAAATGCTTGGACTAGTCTTCCTTCCTCTCACTCTTGTGTCCTGTTATACAATAGCAGAATAATTCTTATAAAATAGAAATTGAACCATGCTATTCTCTGTGAAATTCTTCAGTTGATCCATCCTTCACACAGCCAATGTATGGAGCACTGCAGTGTTTACATGGAGTACAAATCACATTGTTAAGTTGACCATTTCTACTTGTTTTCTCCCAGCTTATACTCTGCTCTGCTTCATTCGTTCCTGTGTATTGATTATTTGTGTGTGTGTAAGAATGTGTGTATGTGTGTAAGAATATGTATATGTATAGAATATGTGTGTGTGTAAGAATGTATGTGTGTATGAGTGTGTGTAAGGATATGTGTGTATAAGAATGTTGTGTGTAAGAATATGTGTAGGTGTGTGTAGAATATGTGAATATGTGTAAGAACATGTGTGTGTAAGAATATGTGTATGTGTGTGTAGAATATGTGTGTGTGAGAACATGTGTTTGTAACAATGTGTGTGCATAAGAATGCATGTAAATGTGTGTGTGTGTGTGTGTATGTGTGTGTGTGGTGTGGTGTGGTGTGGTGTGTCCAGACGGTCCACACATATGTATGTAGACTTGTGTGGAGCCCGAACACAATCTTGGTATTGTTTCTCAAGTGCCCACATCCTTCCCCACCTTTCTTTTGAGACAGGGTCTCTCACTGGCCTAGAGCTCACTGAGGAGGCTAGGCTGGCCAGTCAATGAATCCCAGGGATCTGAAAATTCTGTCTCCCTAGTGCTGGCGATACAAACATGTACACATATATCATCATGCTTGACTTTTGTTCCACCTCCCCAAGCCCTAATTTTTTTTTTTAAAGTGTGCATTCTGGGGATTGTATTTGGATCCTCATAGGCTCTTTGTCATCGGAACCATCTCCCCAGACCCATGTCTGTTTCTGTCTTTGTCTGTTGAAAGGGAATGGAATGTCTAAACTTATTTATAAAGCACATGTTTTTGTTGTTGTTGAAATTTATAGTGCATTAGAAAAAGTTATGAGATAATTACTGATAATATTTAGTATGTTATCATTTTAGAATTTGGTTACATATTTGTATTTATGTAGAGTTAAAATGCTTGTTGTGTGTGTGTGTGTGTGTGTGTGTGTGTGTGTGTGTGTATGGTGTATGAATCTTTGTACATGTGTGTACACGTGCATTGCCCACAGGCACGTCTGTGGAGGTCAGCGGTTAACACCAAATGTCTTCTATTGCTCTTCACCTTAATTTCTGAGAGTTACTTGCTGAACCCAGGACTTGCTGTTTGGCTGGTCTGGCTGTCCTGTGAGCCCTCAGAATTTACCCATCATCCCCATAGCACTAGTGATGAAGATGCACATCGTCCCGCCTGGCTTTTGATGTGGGTACTGGGCACTATGAATATGATATTTGTTATTTGACTATTTAACAGTTATTTCATGTCAGTTAATGCAGACAGGTCATGGTTTACTTTGACTTCTATTTTGGAAAGCCCACATATTAAAGAGTGGTGAGGCTTGAGCCGTGGATACCATTTCTCAGCTTTAATAGCTACTAATTTGTTGTCAAATTTTGTTTCATTTATTCTTTTATCCATTTCCAAATAATGATGTTCATTATTTTGAAGCAAATTCCAGACATGAAGTGATTGTATCTTCAAAATAAGTATTTTAAAAAGTCTCCTTTTTAATCAACTCACAAAGTAGTAGTTTTCACAGTTCTTTTCCACACATCCTGAGTTTTATTGACTTTCCCATCTCTTCTTTCTATTTTCCTTCCTTAATTCCAGACTGAACACCTCCAGAATCCCTTCCTCTGCTTTCATATCACATGTGTTCTAGTATCCATCCCCTGCCATGCTTTGCCCACCTCATGTCCATTTTCTTGGTTCCTTGTCTCTATAGATATTCACTCCAGATTAAGCAAAGAAATCTAAAAAATTAAAGCTATATATAAATGAAAGCCTGAGTTGGACATCTTTTATTTTTATACTTTCTAATACAATGATTAAAGTTGCTATAATTACTTATGTGACCTTTGCATATATTTGTCAGATTCCCTGCTTTTAGTTGTATGGAATATAATATCCATGGTTTTGTAGAAAATTAATGACAAAATCTGTCTTAAAATAGAGGTTTTGTTTTTGTTTTTGTCCAAACTCCTTTCAAATATAGTATGATCCCATGCAGAAAACAGATTATTAATATGTGATCTGGGTACTATTTATAAAATCTATTACTACTACTACCAACACACACACACACACACACACACACACACACACACACACACACACACACACACACTGTACAGTTAAAGTCCAGTTCTGTGAATGTGACAGTTAACTTCAATGATTCATGTCTCTATTTTGTTAACTAACACATGCAGATAACCACAGCAACAGAATTCTTTAGTTAGCATAAGTATAGCAACTAATTATTCAGTTTTTCATACTAAGAGATATTTAAGTGCTTAAGACTTATTACTCATAACTGAAATTTTCTGAGTTTGATAAAGGAATTGAACATTGACTTAGTATCAAAATTTCAATAAACAACATCATTTTCAGCTTTTAAAAAACCCACAAAAATTTGAAGCTAGGATTTGCAAATTAGAGAGAACATGCAGTATTTATCTTTTTAGGCCTGGGTTACTTCAGTCAGTCTAATTTTTTTTCAGTTCCATATATTTCCCCACAAACTTCATTTTTCTTCATAGATGAATAAAATTCCATTATGTATGCACATGGCAGTTTTACTATTCCTTTATTCGTTGATGGCTAATAGGCCGAATCCATTTCCTAGACGTTGTGAGTAGAATAGCAACGAGTGTAGATGTGTAGGTACCTCTGTGAATAGTATGTAGAATCCTTTGGGTATATGTCCAGAAGTGATACTGTTGGATCATATAGAAGTTCTATTTTTTAAAAAAGCCTTTGAGCAACTTCCACACTGATTTCCACAGTGGCTACCCCAGTTACATTCCCACGAGCAGTGGAAAAGAATTTCCCTCCCCCACATCTTTTCTAGTATTTGTGGTCATTTGTTTTCCTGATAATACGATAGCCATTCTGATTAAGGTGGGATGGAATCTCAAAGTCGTTTTGATGCATTGCCTTGATGGCTAAGGATGTTGATAACTTTAAAAATTTTTATGTTAGTCCATACTTCTTTTTACAATTCTTTGTTCAGTTCCTTGGCCCATATTTGATTGGGTTGTTTGGCTTTTGATGTTAGTTTGTTAAGTTCTTGGCATGTTCCAGACATTAATCCTATTAGTTAATATTAACGTGCAGGTGGTAAAGGCTTTGTCCCATTTTATATTGTCTCTTCACTTGATTAATAGTCTCTTTTGCTGTATAGAAACTTCTAAATTTCATGAAGTCCTATTTGTCAGTCATTGGTATTTTTTCCTGAGTGGCTGGAGTTCTGACCAGAAAGTCCTCCTCTTGTTATATCCTAACGTGTTCTTCATAGATTTTTTTTCTTCTAGAAGAATCTGAGTTTCAGGACTTACATTAACATATTTCTAAAATACATGGGCAATTTAAGCAAATCTCATTATAATACTGTTAGTGTGCCCCGCAATTACCAATAGTTCTTGAGTATCCTTGACTTTCCAGTGTAATCAAGTTTTTCATTGTTTCATAGTTTAAAAGTTTTGATTAGTCTATAATCATTGTACAAAGTGATGGACTTCATCGTGACATCTTCACACATGCATGTAATGTATTTTGCTTAGATCTGTCCCCCCTTATCACTTGTCCCCCATTCCTCTTGCCACATTTTCTCTTCCTCTTCCTAAAGAGTCTTCTTCTACTTTAGTGTATTTAAAAATCTAAATTCAACAGTTTCATAATTTAAAATTTTTTTATTTTATGAACCAACAATGTTTCATATATCATGATAGACCAGCACATTTTTGATTTTCAATTTTCCTCATTGACCTACTTATAATTAATTATTTGCCCCTCCAATTGGTTGAAGAAATTGAGCTATTTACCACAGAGTTTCCCGCAGTTTGGATTTCCAAGATTTAACGTATTGAAGCAGGTCTAGCGTGGTTTCTATCTCTTGTCTTTCTTGTCAATTGCTAGTTTGATCTACAAGTGGGATCATATTCTGAGTTTTTTAATGCAAATTTATGCCTTGTGAGGCATTGTATCCCTTTTATGTGACTTTTGATATCTACTGATTTATGATTTTTGGAAACCATTCCTTAGATTCACTTTTCAACAGTGTTATGTCCTAGTTAGGTTTTCTATTGCTGTGATAAAGACCATGACTAAAAGCAAGTTAGGGAAGAAAGGCTGTATTTGTCTTACAGGTTACAGTCCGTCATCAGACAGGAACTAAAGCAGAGACCATGGAAGAATGCTGCTTACTGGCTTGCCACTTCTGACCTGCTTAGTTTCCTTTCTCATACACCATAGGACCATTTCCCCGGGAGTGGTACCACACACAGTCAGCTGAGCTCTTCTACATCAATTATCAGTCAAAAAATGCCCCATGGCCTTGCCTATAAGCCAATCTGATGGAGGCATTTGCCAATTGAAGTCCCCACTTCTCAGATCACTCTAGCTTGTGTCAAGTTGACAAAAAACTAATCAACATAGGTTACAAATGATATTTAATTGTAGCATTCTTTGTACACTTACTAGCTTAAACACTCTATAAAGAGAAACATTTTCATTAACATCTGTTTAACCTCATGGTACGTGAGAATACAGGAAGGGCAGAATAATAACCTGATATCTTATTTGGCAGTTTTCAAAACCTTGAGATGTTCACCTATCATTCTGCAAAGGTGAAAGATAACTTTTGGTTTTAAGCTGTCTGGTATGTTTCAATTTATTCATCCCGTGACTGATGATTCTTGTTTAAAATGTATCATTTTTGTCAAGGAAAGACTTTCTGTATAACGAGTACATTGACAACATTCTACCTTCTCTCACAACTTTGTTTTTTAGTATGATTGTATATAATTTTTTTCTCCCTAGAGAAATGTCTTGTTGCTTTTCATGAGGCCTCAATCTGTGGGCTATGACTTTTCCTGGCTAAATAGAATTCTGTTGTACTATAATTGAGCCAATTATCCCTGTGATTGTCCAGTTTAGTGGTTTCCTGTTTCTCTGATTTTCAGCCAACAATATTAGTATTGTAATAAGACATACATCTTTGGTGCTAGATTGCTTATTTCTCTAGAAATCATTGGGGCCAGTTGTGTGCATTGATATGCTGCCTTCTAGAGCATGGTAAGATTTTACATTTTTACCAACAGTGTGCAATACAGCTCATTTTTATGTGCTTCTCCCTCACCATTTTGACAGATGGGGGCAATAGCTAATTCTGATTTACATACATTCTCTGATTGTTTATGAGGTTTAGTGTCTCTGTACATTTTTATGCACTGCCGTCATTCAGCCCCGAAACATTATTGTCAGTATTTAGCATTTCTCCCAGTTTTTATTTTGTATTATTTGTCATCACTTTCTCTAAATATAAAACATGTGGTAAACCTAGCAGTGATTTTCTTTTTGGTTTCTGGCCTCAGCATTATGCTGTGGGATTATAAAGTTAACCATTCAAGTCTAGTGTCTGTTATTTCTTTGAAGTCTCACAAAAATTCTATGGTATCGGAATGATCCTTACTTAGACACGAGAAAAAGGGAGACAGAAATTACTCAGAGTTAAAATTAGCCTGAGATTATACTTGTAAATAAGACGAGGAGCAGCTTAAGGGAGAGTCCATAAATGTAAAAAAGTCCCTGAAGCCACATTGCTCTCTGTTATCCTTGATTTCATTTGGAATATGTGAAAAATTAGTGCCAAAGTGTTATTCTGAAGTATACTAGAATAATTTTATGGATTGTGGTGTAGTCTATTGACTGGTGCCCAGTCTTGAACTGTTTTTTAATGGTCAGAAACAAGGTAAGTACCCCAAATGAGAAATTAGTATTTAGAACCATTTTAGCAATATAACTACCATGACCTCTAAGCCCATGGTTGGGTGCTTATCCTGTTGAACAGGGTAGGGTCTGTGTGGGTATTGTTCAACTTGTCTCTTTCATGTACCGTGAGGTACATATTGATGTAGGACCTCATTTGATCTACAAGAAATGGGAAATTTTACAAAAGATAAGCTTGCTGAGAAATACTGCCCTAAGTGGTAAGTAATACTTTAAATCTAGATAGGTGTTCCATTAGTGTAAAGGGACAGGGTTTAGAATCAGTGAAGTCGGGGGAGGACTTTGAGTTCTGATGTCCTCTCGTCCTTGCTGTCTCTCAGGTAGTGTGCATGTACCAGACTCTGAGTAGTAACCCGCTCAGCAAGCTCACCACACTCAACTGCATGCACTCTCACTTCATCCTGTGTGATGATGGGACTGTGGGCAAGTACGGAAATGAAGTGAAGCTCAGGCGGAACCTGGAGAAGCATCTCTCAATGCAGAAGATACACAGCTGTAAGTTCCATTGGGGCTTGGCATCTGGCCGGGGGCTTGCTAGTGAACAAGGTGCTTCCTTGTACTCTGCTCAGGGTAGACAGACCTAAGTGGGTCCCTGCCTTAGACCTGCCAGAGTGTCCAGTTAACACATGTGAGCCACAAGGTAGAAGAAAGCAGGATGTAGGTGGATCCAGAATGGTTGGTGACAATAGGTCAGAGGAGGAAGTCTTTGGGGAACAGAGTAATCAGAGGAGCTTCCATCATGAATGAAACTTTAGCAAGGCCTCTGAGAGAATGTACAGCCAGATAGAGAGTGAGAGGGAAGCTTCCATGTGTAAATGGGAATTGCTAAAGAGAAATAAAGAGATGAACTCAAGAGGAATATGCATCTAAACTTTGATTGTCAAGGAAGACTGAAACTTCATGTGTGGGCCCAGTGACTTTAGGCAGGAAAGGGGTTAAAATCAGAAATGAAGGTACAGGTTGAAACTTGTAGAAATAAGGGTATGGAAGGTGGCAAGGCTGTGCTGTGCTCACACCGATGCTGTAATAATGTCATTTTTGGCTGTAGAGTACATGTAGCAGTCTGTGGGTAATCCCTTTGGCATTACACTTATATGGTAGGGTGCTTGTCTAGCATGTGTGAGGCTCTGCTCCAACCCAGCACTGTAAAGAGTGTGGCAGCGGCGGCAGCAACAACAAATGGCCATTTGGTGTTATTTGTGGAACAGGAGTACTAGGCAGGCTGGTTAGAGAACTCTTACAGAAAGGGGAGGGCTGAGTGCTTTCTGGACGAATGGAGTTCTTTTACTCAGGCATCAATCACCAAGTGGGCCCTGAGTTGTACTGAACCATGTCTTCCATAAGATATCTGTATCTTTCAAAGGGCTCAGTTCTTTGCGTCCTTTGAGTGGTGGCTGAAAAAGTAAGTCCCTTTAGTTTTTGCTCTTTGAGGCAGCAGAAAGTGTGGGATTAGAGACAATTCTGTCTTTGTTGTCCGTGACCTTGGGCAATGGAGTTAATACTTGCCAAGCTTTTAAACTTTTTAAGTGTAAAGTTTTGTCTACCTCTAACTTTTGTTGCAAGAACAGAGAACAAAAAAATGTGTTCAGTATTGTCTGAGGTCCCCCTCCCTCCTGCTGCTGTGATGAAATACTCTGACAACAGTAATTACAGGAGGGTTGAGCTTGTTCTGGCTCTTGGTTCAAGAGTATGGTCCATCATGGTAGGGTAGTCAAGGCAACAGCAGCTTGAAGAAACTGGTTACATCACATCCACAATCAGGAAGCAGAGGGAAATGAATGCATGTTAGCGCTGAGCTTGCTTTCTTCATTTTATATAGTCCAGGATATTCTTCACAGAGAATAGTCCTGCTCACATTCAAGATGGGTCTTCCCATATCAATAAGTGCAATCAAGATACTTCCACAGGCATGCCTAGAGGGCTGTCTCCCAGGTGATTCCAGATTCTTTCTGGTTGACAACTAACACTAACCACGATAGATGTGGTTAAAAGTGTTGGGTGCATGGTATGTCTTTAAAAAATGTCTGTTCTTTCTTCCCTTCTCCTCCTTCTTGGTATGGCTGTTATGAATTATTGCATGGGGGGACCCCTGAGTGTATCCTGCACATGCAGGGAAACATGCTGGCATGCTGGGCAGATGCAGCGGTGGGCTGGGCAAATGCATGCCATGCAGGCATGGTGGCAGCAGTGGCAGCCAGTAATTCACAACCCAGATGCTGCATCCACATGGAGAGTTTATTATAATAGAGAGATGAAGAAAAGATAGGAGAGAGAGAGAGAGAGAGAGAGAGAGAGAGAGAGAGAGAGAGGTTGAGGATGCACATCTCATGGGAGGAAAAGTAGAAGAGAGAGAGGAAGGGGAGGAGTTTTTCCTTAGAATGAGGCTTTTACGTCAGGATGCAGGACAGTGCCAAAGGGGTGGGGTTTTAAAGGGTGGGTCAGAATATTAACATTCCTCCATTATGATTATTATAAAAAGAGGTGCGTTATGGGAGCAAGTGGGGGAACAAGGGCGCTGAATTCTCGAGGCTACTTCAAGCTGACAAGGGGTGAAGTGGGGAGGGGAGAAGCCAGGAGTCACACATGGCAGGAGGTGTGAGTGAAGAAGCATTGTTAGTTGTCATCATGGAAATCTTTGGTGTCTGTTCCTTGAGTGAGCTGAGAGGGCAGGTTGTGGCAGTGAATTGAAGGATGATGTGTTCTTTTGGAGTGCAGGAGCCATCACATCAGCCATTTCTCTGGAGGTGGCGGTGCATCCACCCCAGTTGGTGTCCTCAGAGCTGGTGCCAGCTGGTGCAGGGGCTGGTGTATCTGGAGAGCCCCTTGGCCCGGGCAGGAGAAGGGAAACGACAAAATGTGGGTGAGGTCAAATGGGCTCTGGAGACTGTTAAGTTTTCATCAGACCAGGTTTCTTGATAAAGTAGCAGAACCTTTCCCAGGAACCTGTAGTATCTGTAAGACAGCTGGAATGGATTTAGCAGAACTTTTTCTAGGAACCTGTAGGTATCTGTAAGACAGCTGGAGTGAATTTACAACATAGCAAAAGGGTTAAAAATCCATAGAAATTTAAGGACTCTTAAGAACTCATTGTAGTCAGTGTTTTATCAATTTATCAAAGCTGCATTTATCAGTATTAAAACTTTGAACCGCTGAAGTTATATCTAAAACCAGTCTATCCTGTACCATGAAGTCTGGGGCTGTTAAACTGATACACCCTAGTCATCAAACATCATCAGATCCGAGAAGGATAAATTTAAGAAGTGAGACAGCTTTTCAGCTACCTAGGCAGCAATCCCAAGCCTCTCCACTGCTGCTGGGGGACAGAAGTCCCAAAGGCACCTATTTTATGGATTATTGTGCAGGCTGACCACTGAGGGTATTGTGTGCATGCAGAGAAACATGCTGGCACGCTGGGCACATGCACACCATGCGGGCATGGTGGTGGCGGCAGCAGTGGCCAGTAATTCACAACCCAGATGCTGCATCCATGTGGAGAGTTTATTATAATAGAGAGATGGAAAGAAAGATAGGAGAGAGAGAGAGAGAGAGAGAGAGAGAGAGAGAGAGAGAGAGAGAGAGAGAGAGAGAGGGAGAGAGAGAGGTTGAGGGTGCACACCTCTTAGAAGGAAAAGCGGAAGAGAGAGAGGAAGGGGAGGGGTTTTTCCTTAGAATGAGGCTGTTACATCAGGGTGCAGGGTGGTGCCAAGGGGGTGGGATTTCAAGGGGCGGGTCAGAATATTAACAGCGGCTGTGTGGAAGTTCTTGTGTATTGATACCTGATTGTCATACTTGATATGTCCACAGGGGATCACATATTCATGTTTACCATTCATATAGTTACTTTGACAGAATGAAAATATCTAACTATTGATTATTTCTAAAAAAACCTCAAAGCATCTTTGAAGTTGCTGTCTGACCTTTTATATCAGCAGAAAGGACTAATAAAAATAAAATAAAATAACAAATTAAATATTGCTCACATTAGAGTTGCTGAAGGAATCCCTGGCCTCAGTAATTGGCCAATGAAAGGGGCCAATGGCAGTTGTTTGGTCAGCCATTGTCCTGTCAGGATAGGAAGCATCAGTCCCAAAGCCCCTCTTTCTCCTGGTAATTTCAGTTTAGTCTCCACAGAGCAAAGTATTACTTCCCAAACTGACTGTTTTAGGAACTGTTAACGTGAGAACTGTAGTCTCCATGATTCTTATTGGCAGGCAGTAGCATGCAGTTCTCCAATGAGGTGTCTCAGCATTAGAATTTTAAATTTTTAGCAAAAATATTTACTAAATTTATCTTTTTACCTGATACACAAGGGTCAAGTTGTATATATTATTGGGGTGCCATGAATGCATTATATAAAATCCTCTTGGAGCTGGGCAGTGGTGGTACACACCTTTAATCTCAGCACCCAGGAGACAGAGGCAGGTGGGTCTTTGTGAGTTCAAGGCCAGCCTGGTCTACAGAGTGAGTTTCAGGACAGCCTGGGCTATACAGAGAAACCCTGTCTCGAAAAACCAAAACATCAACCACCACCGCCACCAATCCTCTTGGAGCTTGTGACCTGTGCTCCACTTTGTTGTCATAGGTTCTCACCCTACTGTGTAATACTCACTGGAATTTCTTGAATTCTTGCCTAGTTGTAGCTTAGTATATACTGATGGACCTTTATCCTGCCCCTCTTCCTGCTTAGGTTTTATAGTAAGATAGTTTTGGAGAAAGCAATCATGAATATAATTATTTATGGAGGAATTAATTATTGACTCAAATTATCCCTAGCAGAAATCAGATTCTTCTTTCTTCTCTTCCCCAAAATGCTCTTATTGATTTCTTTTTCTGGTGGTAGAATATTGCATTCTTTAACACTCAGATAAAATAAAGAAAGCATGCATTAAAAGAAAGGTAGAATTTTTACACTGTCACTATTAAAACTAACCATTAACATTTTCACATATAAACTTTTAGTTTTCTACACACACATACATACACACACACATTCTTAAGAATAAAACTGATATCAATGGTGCTTTTGATAGACTTTCCCTCTTTACTAAGCACAGTATATTTCCCTAGTAATAAACATAATTTACCACATATCTAATGGCTATTCTATCATACAGGATATAAGAAATTCTCTCAAAAATTTTTCCTAGGGCTGGGGGTGTAGTTTAGGGGTAGAAGACAGCATGTGCAAAGCCCTGAGATTGGTTTTCAGTATCAAGAAAAAAAAGCTTGATTAATAATATTTTTTTTTTTTTTTTCGAGACAGGGTTTCTCTGTGTAGCTTTGCGCCTTTCCTGGGACTCACTTGGTAGCCCAGGCTGGCCTCGAACTCACAGAGATCCGCCTGGCTCTGCCTCCCGAGTGCTGGGATTAAAGGCGTGCGCCACCACCGCCCGGCGATTAATAATATTTATCTAAGTTTCATTAGTATTTTGTGTCTCGATATATCCCTTTTCCTGTTTCACCTAGTTTTGTAAGATATTGTTAGAGGAGCCCTAAGTGTACCTGTTGGTATATTGTATTCTCATATTTTTAATAGTATTTATTCATGTGGAGATAATAATGAAGTAGAATTGAATGGAAAAGGAACAGGAGATTATCACACCAATTAATTAGACTATATGGAATATTTGGATACCTTCAACAGCCTACCATAACATTTCTGGCATCTGGGACAAGGATACACAATGAAATCAAGCCAACACACCAATATGCTCTACTCATTGATCTTGACATGTATAAGCTAGGCTAGTTTATGTTTAGAGTTCTTGGGTTTTAGAGAGTACTGAGCCAGAGCATCACAATTTGGCAGAGGTGGACCCTCAACTCATCCACTTTCTGTTTTTGTCTGCCTCTGGCTCAATCCTGCATTTCCAGATGGGCTACACCTTGACATCCCCTGGACACCCTAGTTGAGATCAAATATCTTTCTACCTCTTCTCTACTTCCCAAATATGCCTCTTGCTTTGCAAAGGATGTACTTGGGGCAGAGGCCCAAACAGCCCCCAGAAGCCAAGATCTTGAGGGTCTTAGGAGCTTCAGGGAGTGGGATGTAAGTATGGGCTTCTCTTGGCAGTCATACTATGTAGACCCCCGTTGTTGTTAGGGTTTCTATTGCTGTGAAGATACCATGGCCATGGAAACTTTTATAAAGAAAACCATTTAATTGGGGCTTGTTTAAGTTTCAGAGGTTTAGTCCATTATTGTCATGGCAGGAAGCATGGTGACATGCAGGCAGATGTGGTGCTTGAGATGTAGCTGAGAGTTCTACATCCAGATCAGCAGAAAACAGGAATAGAATGCCACACTGGGCTTGGCTTGAGCATCTTGAGACCTCAAAGCCCACCTCAGTGACACATTTTCTCCAACAAAGCCATACCTACTCCAACAAGGCCACACCTCCTAATAATGCCTTATGGGCATGTGTATGTGTGTGTGTGTGTGTGTGTGTGTGTGTGTGTGTGTGTGTGTGTGTGTGTGTGTAATTTTCATTCAAACTACTACAACTCCCTATCTGTGAGGATAGGGGATGGCCAGAGGAAGGCCACTTCACCCAAGGTGAAGTTCTCTGTAGCTCAAAAGTGAATATAAAATATTGTCCACCGGTTTCCCTTCTTTTGAAATGTAAAATCAAATATATAGTTTTAAAGCAACATGTTAAAATTTAAGTCAATAAGATGATTGAAGTCAAGCTGAGCATGGCAGTACATACTGTAACGTAGCACTCAGGAGGTTAAAGCAAATGGATTGTGAGTTTAAGGCCAACCTCAGTTATATAGTTATGACTTGTTTCAAAAATACCAAAAAGTCCCTTTTTAATGTTAATGGTTTATTGTATATTCTTTCAGAGATTTCCATTCACTGATAGAAAATGTATATATATGTACATGCATATAAATACATAGTTACACACAGGGCTTCGAAAATACAAATAGGATGTATTGTATGTTCCATTTTATAACTTTTTCATTTAGTAGCTTTTATAAAAGAATGGCTCAATAGTGCTGCAGCTTTTTTGTCTCCTTGCTTTGATAAGATAATATATAATCATGATAAATTCAAACAGTGAAAGTTGTACTATTCTGAAATATAAAAAACATTGAACGTTGCCCTGCCCATCATTAAAAGTTTATTGCACTGACAAAGCCTGTTTTTAATGAGTGATGGGGACACTGGTATCTATTATATAGATCTGCTTACTTTTAAATCCTTTAGAATTTGCAACAATGAAGTGTTAAAATGTTTTAAGTCCCCCCTCCCCCTTTTTTAGTTAATGAAAGCTTTTACTGATCTTTTTCCTGGTGAAAGCTTAAAGATGCCCTCACCATATCTGTGCTACATTTTCTCTGAACTCCAAGTTTCTGATTTAGTCTTGAACTGATCAAACAGGAAGGTTGGGGTGGTAGTTGAAGGACTGAAGTGTAGAAATCAAGGTGGCTGGCTGACCGAGGCATGGCAGCTTTGTGACAGCTTGGTACTGTTTGTGGCCTGAAATAGGTTCAAGACAAGGTGTGCCCGTGGTGGGGCTGGTGGTGGAAGGTGGCCCCAATGTCATCCTCTCAGTGTGGGAGACTGTCAAGAACAAGGAGCCTGTGGTGGTGTGTGAGGGCACAGGCAGAGCTGCTGACCTCTTGGCCTTCACCTACAAACATCTGGAGGATGGAGGGTGAGTTGTTGACGCTTCCACTTTGAAAACACAGTAACTATTCATTCTTCCACTTTGCACTTTCAAGCTGTGTATTTTCGTGGGCCAGACAAGCTATATGCTGAGTCAGTCATTCCTCTTTCAGTGACTGGACTTGTGCATCAAACTCCCAACCTATAACCACAAGAGTCACTATTGTCTTAGCTAAGCAATGTCCTATGATTTTAGGAAGTTAGACCATTTGAGAATATTATGCTCAGTCTGTGAAAACTCACTGCCTTCTGGAACCCTGTCAGCTCAAGAAGACTCCCTTAGAATGTATTGTTTCGGGGGGCCTGGTGGATGAATACCCCTCACATTAAAATTCATCCTTCTCTGCACCCCCCTCCCCCTGCTCATGGGCTCTCTTGAAGGCAACCTTCTCAGTAGGGTACTCACATGGAGTTTCTCACCCCAGTGCTACTGGCTTGGTCTCATCTCTGGGTTGCTTCAAATTATGCCCATTTATTTCTCTGACAGGATGCTGCGTCCTCAGGTGAAAGAAGAGATCTTCTGTCTGATTCAGAGCATGTTCAACTTCAGCCTTAAACAGTCTAAGCACCTTTTTCAAATTCTAATGGAGTGCATGATACACAAGGATTCTGTAAGTATGATGAGTTCATGACTTAAAAAAAAAATGCCACCTTCCAGAAATCAAAATATTTATTTTTACATTAAGAAAATGCACAGAATACCTATTTTGAACTTTGATGTATATAACTCTGCAAAATGTGACCGTTCAGTTGTGTGAACTTGGATTCCTACTGCTCTGCCTTCAGTGTTACCCTTCATATTTGAAATTTCAGATTCTGTCTGGGACAAAGCACTTAGAAAAACAGTATTACACAAAAGTTAGCAAACATAAACACTTGCAAGGGTTGAAAGAGCAGCTCCAGGAGTCCAGGGGAGTAAAGTCTGCAGTGTTTGATGACCACATCACAGCATTGTGAGTGAGACTCTCAGCAGGTTTTCGTGTGTGCATTGGACAAGGGCAAACTTGAGATTAAACCATGCAATGGAAAATGTAGTTCAGCTGAGTATGGTGGCATACACCTTTAACTCCAGCACCCAGAAGGCAGAGGCAGAGGCAGAGGCAGAGGCAGAGGCAGAGGCAGAGGCAGAGGCAGAGGCAGAGGCAGAGGCAGAGGCAGAGGCAGAGGCAGAGGCAGAGGCAGAGGCAGAGGCAGAGGCAGAGGCACAGGAGATTGATCTTCGTAAGTTTAAAGCCAGCCTAGTTTACATGGTGAGTTCCAGGCTAACCAGAGCTACATAGTGAGACCCTGCCTCGAGCAAATCAAAGCAAAACAGAACCAAAAAAAAGGGCTATGACTATAATGCAGACTCGGGAAAAGGGCTCATGTTTTAGGGAACTATTTCCAAAATTTTTAATGATGTCTCCTTAGATGATATGAAGCAGAAAACTCCAGTAAATATGCAGATATGTTGCCATTTACAGTGATCCCTCCAGAACCAGGAAGCTTAGTGAAATCATGAAGGAATTGTGTTGGTGCTAAAGCATCTAACCTTACAACACCAATGGAACAAGTTCAAATCTGGCAAGAACACACATGAAAAACCCTTTGGCATCTTCAGTGACCACAGCTGTGTTTATAAGTAGTCACATGCTTTTAACTCTCTTTCATCTGAAATGACCCTAAGAATGAGTTCAAGATGGCAATGGTTGCTCAGTTCCACTTTGGAAGTTATGCAGCTCAAGGCTAGACAATTTAAGCGATCTGTCCAGTCATCCAATTAAGACATGGCAGGCCTGGTCTGAGCTCAGAGGTGCCACCCTGCCATGCTTTGCATAATTAGAAGAAAAGGCCATGTGAAAGAGATTGCTATAGTGCTTGCTTCTTTCTGTCATTATGGAGTATAATTACTGAGCAGTGAGCAGAAAGATCAAGAAAGGCAAAGAAAGAAAACCATGGTGCTTGCATCACAGCCGTTGGCCTCTGTGTAGTTAGTTGGTGGTTGAAGGTTGACTTTGTTGGCACACATAGTAGCCATGTTAGGCAAAAGGATCCAATATGTGTAGATATATTAGCATAGTTTGGAAATAGGACCTTGGACACTTACTTTCAGATCCTTACTCATTTTGTGGATATGTAACTTACATTTAGTGGCTTTAAGATATGTCCCTAAGGTGGGCTAGTTAGAGTCTTACCCGGGACCAGTGCTTGACATTCCTGGCTTTCTCTGTTAATATAGCTTCCTGTATTACAGGAGATATATTTTTATTTGGAAAGGTGTAGTATGCATGTAAATAGAAATAAATGTGGGTGAAGTCTAAAAATCTAGAAAGGAGACCAAAAAAGGGTAATATCAGATGATGAAGGAGGGTAGGGGTGTATGGGGGGTGGGCCAAAGGACGCATGGGACATCAGAGAGGAAAAGAATTTGTTGGGAGGGTCCCAAGGGGGCACAGGAGTACCAAGGGATGGGAAATGGGGGAACAAACCCCACAAAACATCATATTTTGTTAAAAAGTGTCATAATGGTATCTAACACATTATATGCTGATTTTTTTTTTTAAATCAGTCTCATACTAGGGTACCCTGGGCACTTTGACACTGCTAAGACTGCAGTTCATTGTCCCATCCATGGGATCCATGGTCCTCATCTTCCTGAGTTTAGGATAGCATTTGAGGAGTCACTTCTCATTTTGAGGCAAAGGTCTTAGTTTCTAAGTTTAAGTGGGCAGAGGGCTCTCACGGTTTCCCCTTCCGAAGGAGAGATGAGTTGATTTGCACTGGGAGTCGACAATGAGGCTCTTTCCCTGAGGAAGGTGCAGAGTAAGCTCCATTACATGTGACATTTTTATTGTTTAGTTTTTCCAAGTGCCTTTAATTCTTTGTCACCCTATTTGAAACAGTTTTCCTTCTATAAGTCAAATAATGCCATGCTGTTTAAAATGACAAAACCAGGAATATTTTCTTCAGTAGCTGAAATGTTCATCTTATTGGTACCATTCAAAGACATCTCTGGGGTAGTTTCTAAGCTGTGACTTCCTGATTTTCCCCCATCACAGATTACCATATTTGATGCTGATTCTGAGGAGCACCAAGACCTTGATTTGGCAATCCTCACAGTTTTGTTGAAGGGTGAGTGATCCACCCGATTCACAGTTCCTCCTCACTTCCTGTTCTCACATTCTAGAGGATTCTATGCTTTTCCCCTATATATTTTTGAATATGTTATATATGATTATTCCTTTCTTTCCTCCTAGGCACAAGCTTATCAATATCAGAACAATTAAATCTGGCAATGGCTTGGGACAGAATGGACATTGCCAAGAAACATATCCTAATTTATGGACAACATTGGAAGGTATAATGAAAATGAGGTTGTTTGAAAAAAGGATTTTGTGTATTGGTTTGTCAGAGAGGGATAAAGAAAAAAATTGGATTAAAGATAGAAATTACTCTGATGGCTAGGCACCCAGGGAAACAAAGGCATGTCTCTTCCTTGGTTTGCCTCCCCGAAAACAGATTTCCCTGGCTTCATGGAAGATGAACTAGGATGTTAAAAGATCAAAATAATGGAAAGAGTTTAGATTTATTTTGAATGAGTTTGATTTTGTTTTTATTATTCATAACTTAAATGTTACCTTAGTGTTTTGTTTAGCTTTACATTAAAATGTAATATTTATAGTGAAAGGCATAGAGGCTACCACAAGAAGACTCAAAATAAATACGTGGTAAGCCTTTAACCTCTCAACCCAGTGGAAACACAATGTGTGTTTTCTTCTGCCTCTGAGCTTGTCCTTCCTTCCACTCTGTCTTCATCTTTGTTGTTAAGTTCCAGGTTAGATCACAAGGCTAAGATGTCTACAGGAGCACCTTGTGACTAACCTAAGATAAAAAACTAGTGTGTTCTAAAATGACTATACAAATGGTAAGCAAAGATAAAGGGAAGAGTTATTGCTAAGATAAAGCCTTATTCCACAAGTTATCCTCAGAAAGACTTGAGGGTCACTTCAAAGGCCAGCATCTTATCAGAGTCAACCCCAGTCTACTTCAGGTCACACCTCTGAGGTGTGGGCTATAGTAACATTTGTCCAGGGTACTCTGCAGACACTTTAGCTGAAAAGAGTGGCTCTGCTTGGGAGCATACAGTTGTCTGATAGACTTCTAAAGTGGGAGACAGGACTTGGTATCTTTCTCGTCACATCATCTGCCCCTTTGCTGATCAGTCTTGAATTCTGCAGATTCTGCTGCATGTAGACATGCTGATCATTTGAAAAATGATTGGGTCAAAGACTATAAAGGGTTAACTTGACTACCTCCAGCTGGAGTGGGTCTGTGTTTCTTCTACTCAAGCATTCTCTTCAACTGCAACACTGGAAGTCCTTCATCTCTGTAACGAGGCCAAGAAGTTTGTGCAAGATGAGGACCTGACCCTTTACTCAGCAGCTCCTGAATGGAACTGAGCACTTCCTAGTCCACTAAGTACAAGACCAGGATGCTTGTGCATAAGGAGAATACTGTTTGAAACTGTGCCTGTGACTAATGGACAGTCACCAAATCTTGAACCATTCCCATAAAAGAACTAATCAAAGCTGGCAGCCTTTTGCTGAAGTGAGCAGCTGGTCTCCTTTGGCTTGGCCTCATTTCTACTCTTACCATGCCTCATGTTCCTATCTTTCTCTTCCCTGGAAGTTTTCAAATATTCTTTCTCTAAGGTTCTGAGCTTTCACCATGGTGTGTGTTAGGTCTTATCTTAGTTACCTTTCTATTGCTGTGATAAAATGTCATGAAGGAGGCAACTTATAAAAGAAAACATCTAATTGGGCGTCAGCGTTCAGAGGGGTATTGTTCATGATGGTGGAGTGAAGGCCGGCTGGCAGAAACAGCTGAGAGTTCATATGTCAAAAGCACAAGTGTGAGGCAGAGAGGCACACTGGGAGGGGTGCAAGTCTTTTGAAACTTCAAAGCCTGCCCCCGGTGACATGCCTCCTCCACCAAGGCCATGCCTCCTAATCCTGCCCAAATAATTCTGTCAACTGGAGCATTCAGATATGTGAGCCTATGTGGGCCATTCTCCTTCTAAACAGCACAGGTCTACAGACTCATGATGCACATCGTTTTAAACTTGCCTTCACAGTATCATTCCATTTTTTCTCGTTTTCTCTGCTCTTTTTTTTTTTTTTTTGATTCCTGAGTTCTGAGTATTTACTTAGTTGGTAATAATTACTTCTCTTGCTTTTCTTGTGTTTGTGTTTGGTAGGGTTTCTCAACTTCTCAGCCTCAGTGAAGCCTTATGTTACTGGTAGATTTGCATTAGTCTACCAAGTCCCGTGAGCACATTTATTTGCTGAGTGGACTTTCTTTCCTCTGTGTTCAGTGGCACCTGGAATAAATATTATTTTATCTGTCTGAAACTATTAATAATAGTCCTTTGGAGGCGTTCCTCTTGAATTATTTGGTTCTGCCTAGCTTTTGTGGTCCATTTGTGTTGATTTTTTTACTCACAGTTGGAGGACAGACAGGGAGATATTTTTTGTCCCGTGAGTTTGAACTCACGGGTCATCTGATGCCATTTTCTGGGGGACTCTCCTCAGTGTCAGCACATTCTTATCTTCTCTTGCACTGGTGATAATGTTAGAAAAGAAATGTTTATAGAGCTGGGAGGTGCAAGCATTACTGCTCATAGTAAAGGGCCAAGTGGGGACAATGACTTCCGAGTCCTGACATTAGACTCAGCATGTGTACATTGACTTCACTGTGGTGTAAATTTGTGTGATCCTTGATACTTCTCACTTCAACTGTTTGGTTTTGGGTGGACTGGAGCCAAGTACCACTTGACCAACTGCTTTTCACAGTTCATTCTGCTGTCCTCATTCCCCCTGCCTCCACTTACTTGTGAATTGATTTGTCTAAATCAGTTTCTCTGATGCAGTTTTAGTGGATTTTTTTGATAGGGGACAATTAGATGAGTATGTCCAATATGCCACTTATATACCTAATGCAGGTAAAGTTTAAATGGAATAATGATGGTACAAATTTTTTAAAAAAATCCATCAACCAAATGAATGAGTAAACATTTCCCTCTGTCCTCAAATTAAAAACAAACTCAGAAACCCTTGGATTTTCATTAGAATTACCTTTAAGACTCACCATCAGTTTGGGGGAACTTTGAGCTTGTTACAGTGTTCAGTTTTCTCACACAAGAACATGAACCATTCTTGACTATGTCTTCAGTTAGGCCCTGATTTCTTAGGAAGATTGTAGCTTTTAATGATGACATCTGTGTAGTGTTTGTGATTATTATTTCTCTTATGTTAATTGTCTTCATACTTCTTTATTTGTACCTCTGGAAGCCCGGTGTTCTAGAGCAAGCAATGTTAGATGCCTTAATGATGGATCGGGTAGATTTTGTGAAACTCTTGATAGAGAATGGAGTGAACCTCCACCGTTTCCTCACCATCCCCCGGCTGGAAGATCTCTATAATACAGTGAGTATGGAACACTTCATGTCATCTTGCTCAAGATTTGTTTGCTAGTTAGCTTCAGGTTTGTCTGTCTCCTTAAATGTTCATGTACCAACATGGTTTTCAGAATGCAGACTTACTTTCCAACCCAAGCTACACTCTTACCAATTCTATTTTATCTTAAGATGGAGACAATACTGTAAATAAGAAGAGACTGCTTTTTATTCAGTTATTTGGAGTCTCTTAACCTAAAGCCACTATTAATATGTTGCTCTTGGGACAATGAGGTGGCTCACTGGGTAAAGGCACTTGTGGACAAGACTGATGACTAAGTTCAACCCTTAAGACCTGCTTTTCCGTTGTGAAAATGTCCATTGCCCATGCCAGGCACCTTCCTGAATTGTCCTTCCTGTTCCTTTCAACACTGTCCTCTCTTCAAAGACCGTTCAAGTTCTCTCTTCTTCATTACTCCAATTACTTAGCAGTTATCTCTTTCTAGAATTTGAAATACTTGTAGCTTCTTTTCAGCACACACATCTTCACCCTGTTGGTTACTTTTTAGGATATGTATTACTCTTTATTTTCTATTATTGTGAAGACTCCCTTGAATCCCTCAGGAAGCTGAACATTATAAGGATTCAACAAAATACCAATTGATAGAATGCACTTGTATTTGGTAGAATTTATATATGATAAAGGGTAGTCATAAATGTCCAAAATTTGTACTTCTTATCACATAAAACTAACATCTTTACTATCTCTCTCTGTATACATGCTTTGAAAATTATGAACAATCATGGCTTCTCTTGGGAAACTCCATCTTTAGGATTAAATAGCTTAAGTTTCATTACTAATGATGTTGAAGAAGATTTTCGATGTTCTGGATTGCTTATGTAATTTGAAATACCTATGTAATTTTGTAGCAAGGCACCTCCAGCACATGATAGTTAAAGGAAATGATTCTTTTTCTTCTTTTTTTAAATCACAGAAACAAGGACCAACTAATATGTTTTTGCGTCATCTTGTCCAAGATGTAAAGCAGGTAACCTAAGTATGAAAGTTGAAAATTCTTTTTGCCTATTACTTTAGATTTGAGGGAGTTGAATGAAAATTTATTAAAGAAATGTTTGGATTTTTATTGTGAATTACTTACTCTTTAATCACCAAATTTTACTCTTCTAGGTTTTCCCATTTCGTTTTTTTTTTTAAAGTTTAGTCCATCAACTATGTGACATTAGTTATGAAAAACATGGATCAGAAGGATGTAGTTCAGTGACACAGTGCTTTATGGAAGACCTTGAGTTCAACTGTCAGCACCACATGAACACAAACAAAACAAACAGGCCAGATTTGGGGGTTCATGCTTGTAATTCTAGCACTCAGGAGATATGAGGATCCAGGTTTTAAGGGCAGCCTGGGCTACATATTAGACCCTGTCTCAAAAGAAACAACCAAAGTAAATGAAGAAACATAAGCAATGGGTCAGCACCCCAATAGACTATATCTATCACACAGCCAATGAGAACTGCAGCAGCACAGGCCTTTTGGGGGTGTCTAGAGTATGATTTCTGATGTTTTCTGTTATCGTTGTTTTGAGCACCCATGGCAGCTTAGGGATGCAAACAATGCTTTTGTGTGTCTGAGCCCTGTTGTAGGGAGTTAGGATGGTTCAACATCCTTTCTCATGTTTTGCTCAGAGTGTTCTCATTGAATGTTGAGTAATGTGCGACTTGAAAATTTAAAGGTCTTTCATTTGTCACTGTAGTAAAAAGCCATCCACAGTACATTTTAAGTGTTTCTCATCTTTTGAAGTGTTATCTCATTGGATAGAGTGTGGACTTTCTGCTTCTGTTGACTTAGTTGGAGAGTCAGATAAAAGGAAGATATTTACTTTGCAAATTTACAGTAAGCAAAATTGTCTATGCTGATATAAATTTAGGTTACACTGATTTGAGCTATAGCAAAATGACTTGTCTAAATTATGTGCTAAAACTCACAATATGCTGAAGAGAACGGGATGGAGAAGTTAGGCGTGTTGCCTTCTGAGAGCATGGAAAAAGAGACAGAGAAGAAAACAAAGCTGTGACTCCTTGCTCTTCCTTGTAGCATACCCTTCTCGCGAGCTATAGAATCACGCTCGTCGACATCGGGCTGGTAATAGAGTACCTCATTGGTGGAGCCTACCGAAGCAGCTACACGAGGAAAAGTTTCAGAGTTCTCTACAACAATCTCTACAGGAAAAACAAGGTAACATCATTGAAAACTAGCCCAGTGTGAGGAAGGGACATTGCAAAGTGTGGTTTTAGAAAAATGGCTGATGGAGTCCCAAGGGCAGCAGTAGCCTCTGTGATGGGTCTCCCATCTGAGGGTACACGTCACCTGCTGTACGTAGAGTCCTGTGCAAAGGGTGCGTGTACTGGCATGAGACAAATATAAAGAGACATCTTAGAAGAAACAGATGGATGGGAAAATTACCCACAATACAAAGTGGGATGTTGTGCTATATTAACATAGAAGCGGTGTTGTGATGAATCTGGTTAGAGAGCAGCTGCTACCGCTTTTCTTCCTTTTGAAAACAAAAACAAAGAGGTCAAACTCTTTTTTTTTTTTTTTTTTCGAGACAGGGTTTCTCTGTGTAGCTTTGCGCCTTTCCCAGAACTTACTTTGGAGACTAGGCTGGCCTCGAACTCACAGACATCCGCCTGGCTCTGCCTCCCGAGTGCTGGGATTAAAGGTGTGCGCCACCACCGCCCGGCTAAGGTCAAACTCTTAATAGATTTATTTCTGTAAACTAACAATGGCCTCTATAGTCTGGAGACTGGGCTAAGCATGTAAGGATTAGACTGGAAGATGAAAACAGAGTCAGCTTAAAAAGAGAAAAAGTTTTATAGATAAGAATATATTTTCTGTCATACTTTTGGAAGACTGAGATTATGAAAGGAGAGCTGCCATTATAGACCTATAGTCAGAGGAGTTAAGTTCTTTTTGGAGAAACAGACACCAGAAAAGAAGAACTGGACACTGACATAAAGAGAAAAGTGGGAACAGAGAAGGATTGCTCAGACCTCAGGGCGGGGTTCTGCAGAAACACTAAGACCTTTGTCATGGGTGGACAGGGATGAGACTGGAATGTGGCTTCCGGGAGGCTCCATAAAGAACCTGGGCTATCCAGCTACTTGGGACCTTTATAAAGAATTTGGAGAAGTGATAGCCCAGTTTGAGTTTAGGAAATGAACAAAACAACCCCCACAAACCCCATTTTTTCCATGCAAAATATGGAAAACCACATCTCACCTAGGAGATAACCTCTGCTGAGATTTCTGAGGCCGAAGGACACCCAGCATCAGCTACTGCCTTTGAAAGGAGTGGCGCCCCCATGTGGTGGTGAGGACAGGATCCCCGTGCGGCCTTGGTGCAGCTGGTTAACTGTTTACTAGGAGGCTCCATTCCTGCTTGTTCTGGAAACAGTCCATTCGTATGACATATCCCATTCCACTAGTTGCGTTTTCCTGAGTGTTGGTGATGGTGTTTCAGTGTAGACTGCAGCCAGACCACAGTGCTAGCACCCACAGAGTGTGGAGTCGGAGTGGTTTGACATCAAATCCTATTTGTCTCTTTACTTGGTTTCTGAAACATAACCTGTCTGTGTCTCCCATCTATGAAATGGGCATATTAATGTCCTGTTCACAAACTTGTGAGAATAACAAAAACCCTCCACATCCTTATTCCAGATCAGGCTTTGAGCAACTTACCAATACTCATTGTGATTATTACCGTATTGATATTATTAATTCTCTCTTACAATAATGATGACACTAACATGGCTGTTGTCACTGAAAACTCTTAACTTCATTCTTTCTATGTTCATTTTTTATCCATAGAACACAAACTGAAGGAGAGTAGAGTTTTTCCAAACCTGGGGTCTGTATCCTAGGCTCTTACGTTAGTCTCTGTATTTGTGTTTTTACTTGCTCACATTTCATTTGATGCCCATGCAGTGGAGATATTATATGCCACCTGGAAAAATTCCAGAACTTTCTAACTTCACCTTTACCTTAGAGCTCTTTGGGAGTGGAAACTTTTTCTTATCAAAACCATAAAATTTTATTGCTTGTTTTGAACTTGTTCTGAGGCTAGAGCATCCATTGATTATAAAGGAATTTCCACATAGGAAAGGAATTCAGGTGCATAATAGCAAACAAAAGAGTATGTTCTCGAAGATGTCAGGAAATAGTAGTGTTCATCAGAAGGAGACTGGGGGAGGCTATTGAGTGACAAATCTCTAGAGACATTAATTATTAACCATGGACAAGAGACAGAAGTGTCGGGTATTTGAGAGGACACATATTTAGTTTTCATCATTGGAAAGAATATGTTGTCCTTATTATAATATATATTTTTAAATCTCTCTCCTTTTTTTTTCTTTAAAAACAAAATAACAACATATACCAGAGTGTGACCAGCTTTTCTCAGAGCCTTTCCCAGCACCCTCTTCACCAGAGACATTCCTTGGGAAGTAGAAACGAGTCTTCGGAAAGCACACTGCATTCCCAGTTCTTTAGGACTGCCCAGCCCTACAAATCCAAGGTAGACGCCTTTGTTTAGAGAACTGAAAATGAAGTTGGTTTTGCAGACTGAGATGACTCCTTCATTTGACACTGGAGAAAGGGAGGGGCCGATGAGGAATCATCCACCGGGACCATAAACAGATGGTGTAATTCATGAGCATTACTGCTGACACAGCTACTCTTCAACAACCCAGAGTGCTGACAACCCAGTGGTTGTCTGGGCTTGCCCCTCAGGTTCTCTTCCTTGTTCCCACCTCTGCCTTGTACAGTTGGCTCAGGCAGGCTGTGTATGCCATGGTATTAAACATTCATAATCATTAGCCTTACACTACACTCTTAATTTCCTTGCTCAAGCCTGGTTGGATATGAGGACCATTCCGTTTGTAACTTAGCTTTTGGGAGATGTTCCTTTTGTATCTTCTTTTCCTTAAGTCTTCCTTGAAGTTAGTTTTATCCTAATTTTGCAGTATAACAAAGATAATGAATGTGCGTCTTTAGCCTGCCCATCTCTGGGGCAGAATGCTCTTACTTAAGTATTTCCGTGGAAATCATACACTATTGTCTGTAAGATGTTTGCTTTCCCACAGCTGTTGGCGTAGCCCTTGGCCACCATTAATGAAAAGATTCTTTTTTATCTGTAGAAAGAGAAGAGAAGCATTCTAATAGTTTTTGCTATGATGCTTCAAATTACAAATACTTATTTAAAAACCTTTATTATTCCCCAAGCATTTGGGAGTACTTGGTTGAGTACTTGGTTGAATTGGGAAGGTAAGCAGGCAGAGGGAGATAAAATGGTGACTGAGAAATGGTTTCACTTTTCTCAAGGTAGTAACATCGTGCAGGGCACTGAGTCAGGGACAGGAAGCCACACAAAGGCACACCGGGAGTTTGAGTGGCATGTCAGTTGAGCTGCAAAGGGTCAGCTAGCCAGGGGGATAGTGCTTATTTTCACCGGAATAAAATAAAGCAAGTTGATCTATTTGAATGTATGCTGGCAGCACAAGTGACCCGCTTCAAAGGAATAATGAAAAATCAACTTGTTAAGGTAGAAGTAGAGAATATTTAAAATAAAATTCTTACTTACCCAAATAGACTGCCATCAAAGGGCAAGTCATGCTTGCTGGTTTATCTTAATGATACTCCACATATTTTGAGACAAGTTCTCACTATGGAGTCAGGACTGTGTTTGAACTCAGTCCTCGTGGCCTTCTAAGTTCTATGTTGTAGTTAATAAAGCATGCATTTTTTTTATAGTTCTGAGACTTGAACTCAGGGTTTTGTGCATATCAGTTGGTTGCTCAACCACAGAGCTACACCCCCAGCTGATTGCTTTTGCATGCCTCATGAAATGGGCACACTGTATCAGTTTTATTGGATATTTGTACTAACAGTTCTACTGTGGGGGATATCTGGGCTTTTGTTTGTTTGTTTTGCTTTCTTTCTTCAGTGCTGGAATCTAACAAAGGTATTAACTAGTTATAAAGTATCTCTAGGATACTTGGCTGTGCTATATTTAGCTAAGCATTGTGCATCTGAGTCCCTCAGGACTTTGTTCTCCTTTGCAATAGGACAAGCCTGGAGACTCACACAAGCCAAAGAAGAAATCAAAGGAAATACACAGCCTATCCGAGGACCCTGAGTCTGCTGGCTTTCTCTACCCGTACAATGACTTGCTGGTGTGGGCTGTACTGATGAAGAGGCAGAAGATGGCCATGTTCTTTTGGCAGCATGGCGCGGAGACCACAGTCAAGGCAGTCATTGCCAGCATTCTCTATAGAGCCATGGCCCGGGAAGCTAAGGAAAGCAACATGGTGGACGACACCTCAGAGGAACTGAAAAGTTACTCCGAGTAGGTCTTCGCTCTTCACTTCACACCAAACAGCAACACCTTTCAGGAAGTGTGGATGCTGCTTTCTCCCTCACATTACCACAGGATAAACAGATTCACTTAGAATTGTGTGTTAATTTAGTCAAGCATCCCCCAAGGAACAGAACCAGTAGGGTGCATAGATAGTTATGTGAGAGGGGGTTTGTAAGAGAATTGACTTAAGTGATTCTGGTCACTAAGAAGTCCTGAGGCAGACTGTGTGGATCCTGGAGACCCAGGGATGCCAGAAACATGGCCACGTCCATGTCCAGAGGCCCCAGAACCAGGGAATCTAGGGTAGGGTTCTCAGTGAAAGGCCTTTGAACTGGGGGAGGGTGCTGGTGCTGCAAGCTGTGGAATCTTCAGGCGGTAGAGCCTGGACTGCTGATGTCCAGGGCACATGAAAGGAGTCTCACCTCTCAAGGGCAGAGACAAATTCACTTTTTGTACTTATTCCCTTTGGGCCCCTGGAGGAGCAGGTGGGCCCATCCAACTGGAGAAGGGATCTTCTTCAGGTAGTCCACTCAGACTCACATGCCAAGCCCTGGAAACATGGTCACAGACACAGTGTGATACTGATTTCTAGTTATTTCTTGATTCTGTTCATCCCAGCAGCCAGCGTTGACTATTGCCCTATACCTTGTGCATTCTTGTAGGAAAGAATGGGAAAGAGTAGAAGGAACTCTGTGGAATATAGGAGAGAAGTGACCTTCCAGTGAGGAGTGCTGAGTCCCATGGGCAGCCAGTTTTGAATTGTGCAGGTCAGCAGTCTAGATTTTAGCCTTTACTTCCTTAAGGACAGTTAATGATTTTTGAAACGAATGACATAGAAAGCCCTTTGGAGCCCCCAAAGTCTTCAATGTTGTTAAGACAACTGCTTACCTTAGGTGTCTTTCAGGCTGGGAAAGCAAACACACATATTGTAGTAAAGAATTAGAAAGTCACTGGTGGGAATGAGAAAGAGGAGAGATGTTTCCATTAATCTGATCATGAAAGTGTTATAGTCCTGTCGACGAAGGGAAGCTCAGTGAGTGACGGAAGTTATAGCTTGATTACAGACCTAGAGCATTTCTGGAGAAGGTTTCTGGGTCTAGCTTCTTAAGTATTTAAGGATTTTATAAAAAAAAAAATAGTAGTGATGATGATGATGATGATGATGATAAAACATGGTACTACAATGTTTCCTGGACACAGTGTTTTCTGTCAGAATTTCTCTATTAGGTCTTATCATGTAGACACACCCACGCCAGGATGAATGTAGTACATCACGTGGCATGGAATGGCTTCTGACAAAAATGTTAAATTCTACTTTGGGCTACCAGGAAAATAGGACAAGTCGTCTACCTTCTGTGCGGGAGACCGATCTGCTTCTGAGCAGCCGCTGTAGCTCCTGATGGCTGAGATTAAATTGCTGTTTATTACAGAGCCTAATTCTGTTTTGATCACACGGCCCAATTAACTGGCGTTTTTTGGTGTGCCATAGTAGTTAGTCTTTGAAAACATTTCTGGTGCTCTGACCGACCTTTTGAAGTGTTCTCTGTCCACCACTGTGTCACCAGGCAGTTTGGCCAGCTTGCCCTGGATGTGTTGGAGAAGGCCTTCAAGCAGAACGAGCCGATGGCCATGAAGCTGTTGACCTATGAACTCAAGAACTGGAGTAATTCCACCTGCTTGAAGCTGGCGGTGTCTGGAGGACTGCGTCCCTTTGTGTCACATTCTTGTACCCAAATGCTGCTGACAGACATGTGGATGGGACGTCTGAAAATGAGGAAGAACTCCTGGCTGAAGGTACATTATTTTCTATAGCTCACATTGTCCATGTACTGTGAAGGTCAGTGCTCTTGAGTTCCAGGTGAGTCCTCTGCAAACAACACCTTCCTCCAGGTGCGCGGCGGATCACCCATCCTTCTGGAATCTCTACACTACTTTCCACACAGTGGCTTCTCAAAACTTGATGATTGGGCTGCCCTGCCACCACAGGGCCACTCTCGCGTCAGAGTTAGAAGCAAACAAAAGCAGCACTTCACTGTGCCAAACAGCAGTGCTTCTGAGAATCCCAACAGAAACAAGGTGTGAGGATACCGGCAGGGGCTGGGTGTGTCGCTCACTCCTACAATGCTTGAGCAACATACACAGGCCCCGGGGTTTGGTCCCCAGTGCCAGAAAATACATAAATATCAATAGACAAGAAACTACAGAGAATTAGCAATTTTTCTTGCTCTCCTCATCAGTGTGTTGCTTCAGGGACTCCATGGTTGCCTTCTGAAAGGCTCTCCTCTAGCAACTCTTCATACCACTCATCATATCTAAATAATTAGCCTCTTCAGTTATCTAAAATCAAGAGCACCCAAATTCAGTGCCCAAGTTTTCTAATGCTCACTGTGGAGCCTAAGCATAGAGCTTTCCATCTTTTAGCCTCAAAGTGTATGTGTTTGTGAAATCAATAGAAGGGATGAAGCTCGATGTTAAGAGCTACACGAGACTATGTTTTACATTTCAGTTATGTTCTTCCTACAATTATTAAAAACATAGCATATCTTAAACAGGATGGCAATTATAAAAATATGAATATTTTTAGTTGGTAAGCTATAGCAAACGCAACAAAATAAGTATTGCAAAAGATAGGAAAGGCTGTGCGTGTTTTAATGTCTGCCAATGAGATTAGAGAAATAAGAAAATTGTCCATCAAAAATTATGTCCTACAATGTCACAAAATGCTGGAGAAAAAGCCGTCATTTTCCAAAGTTCTCCTCTGATCCACTTTGACTTCAGGTCTGGAAGTGACAAAACAGAGGTGGGATGGGTCTGCCTCCACTTACCCAGCTCTGGAAGTAGCTGCTTGCAAATTCCTCATCATGAGAAGGCTGCAGCTGACAACCTGAGGTAGCATTTGCCCTGTATAGTGCATATACTAACTTCCAGAAACACTGTCACCAAGAACTTAATGGATTTTTGTCTTTTATATACTTCATAATGTGACAGGGGTGTGTGGGAGAGAGAGAGAAACACACACACACACACACACACACACACACACACACACACACACACACACACACAGAGAGAGAGAGAGAGAGAGAGAGAGAGAGAGAGAGAGAGAGAGAGAGAGAGAGAGAGAGAGAGGAGATTTAAGCAAGGCAAGTCTCAGCATTTTTCTCCAAACATGCACGCACTGATTACAAGGCCAAGGCAGCTTGCTGTATGAAGTTCTCAAACTCCAGTAACCATTGTTTTCAGGTGCCAACAGTCCAGTTATCCATATTGGCCTGTGAGTTTCTGAAGCACATTTGCAAATAAGTTTGGGATGCCCTTGTCGGAACACTCCCACGTGGATGAGGTTGTGGGAGCATCACGGAGAGCTATTTGGACGGGAAAACTGATTTAAATCCTTCAGTATGTCAGACTCCAACCTCTTCTAGGCAGTAGGTTATTTGTGATCCTGCTGTGGTGGAATACTGCTTCTCCAGGGCAGTGGAACCGGAGGCCTCCCCGGAAGTAGAACTAACACACTGTAACTGTGCATCTGACTATGGAGTTTTTACACTTGGAGGAGTAATATATTTGGGGGAGACATGTCGATCGTGTTAGTACTAGAGCCTAGAGAGTTCACAGATTACAGTTTAAAATAGAACTTAGACGGTCGTTTCAGCATGGGAAAGAAGGCAAGGTTGGCAAGCATTTGACTTCATCTACTAAATCAGGATGGCGGGCTGGTGGGTTAATCTAACTTTTGATCAGTGAACTCCAGGATACTGAGGCAGAACTTTAGTTCTGACATCCACCAAGTTGACTTTCACAAATGTCATAAACATTTTAATCTGTTTATCTTGAAAGGCTATAAAAAGATTGAAGGCAAAAATTCCTTTCAAAAGACTGTTAATGTGCAAAGTATGGTGGCCTAGTGAAAAATGCTTGAACTATCCCTTAGGTTTTTCTGGCAGATGATGGTTTGTACAAGATAGGAGATGGATCTTTTATATTCTCAAGTTTATGATATAAAGTTTAATGTTTTATATGGTAATTTCTATTTGATGACTTTAAATTATTAAAATAATGTAGTCACCACAAAATGATACTTCTAACTTCCTCCTCAGGCATAGGTTTTTGCAGGGGAAACAAGTGTGATGTATGTAGTTTTAAACTTTTAAGTTGCGGCTGGAGAGATTGTACAGTGGTTGAGAGCACTAGCTGCCCTTCCAGATGACTCAGGTTTGATTTTCTGCACTGACATGGCTATTCACAGCAGTCTGTAACTCCAGTTCCAAGGGGTCTGACGCCCTCTCCTGGCTTCTGTGGGCATTGCATGTACTGCATGCCATGTAGTGCACAGACACACATGAGGACAAACACACATACACATAAAAAACTTTTAAGTATGCATATTTAAAATGTTTAATTTTACTCTTTATAAAAATTACATTTAATTTCTTATCTGTTTTTTAAAAATAGTTTTATTTATTTTTACTTATGTATATGAGTGTTTGCATTCATGCATGTATATGTACCACATGCATGCCTGGTGCCAACAGAGGCCAGAACAAGGCATCAGATCTTCTGGAACTGGAGTTATAGACTGTTGTGAGCTGTCATGTAAGTGCTGGGAACTGAACCCAGGTCCTGGGCAAGAGCAGCCAGTGCTTTGAACCACTGAGACATCTTTCCAGCCCTTACGTTTGCCTTTTTAACATTAACATTGCATTCCACTGTTAGGTCGTTCCATGTCATCTGTCCTTTGAGATTGTTACCTTTTTTTTGCCTCTGCAAACAACTGGGCATGAACACCCCTCTGTCCACCTTTCCACAGAGTTGAGGGACACATTTGGAGAACTGAAATAGTGGAGTTACAATATGTGTAGACTCAGGATAAACATTGAACCAGGAGTGGATCGGACTGTCTATACACACTTATTCTTACATCTGCTATTAAGATGTGTCCTTTGTCCTCTGCTCATCTTTATCTTGTCTCCTTTGCAGATAATCATCAGTATCCTTTTACCACCCATGATTCTGACATTGGAATTTAAAAGCAAAGCTGAGATGTCCCATGTCCCACAATCCCAGGATTTTCAGTTTACATGGAATTATGGTGACCAGAGCCTCAGTAATACCAAAGAAAATGCTTGTGTGGTGAGTACACTTCCGTGGCAAATTGTGTTTCCAGGGCATAACTATGTGCAGAGATGCAGAAGCATGGAGCTTATCTGTAATAGGCATCTGTTAAACAAAACGTTTGCCTTTTTACCGTTAACAGGGTATTTATTAACCCTACCCCCTTTACACACCTCTGTGTGTGTGTTGCTATCTTGCTATGCTTCCCAGAATGGCTTTGAATTTCTGGCCAATGTTTCAGTCCAGTGAAGTTGCAAACCACCCTGGGGCCACACATTACTCTAAAAGCCCAGGGCTGATTCATCAATCAAACATTTAGTTCCCTCTGTGTAATATATACCGGTTAGGTAGAGCATGTAAGCAAAGTGTTCCATTTCTGCTTCAAAGACAAAGTCATCCTGTCCAACAGCTGTCTCAGCTTTGCCCTGAGAGGGTCAGAACGGCTCAGCTTACCACTTCAAGCCTCCGTTAACACTGCCACACACTCCTGTGGTTCTCTTCTGTAAAGACATTTAGAATTTGTGTTGATGGGCCCTAGAGATGGTTCAGTGGGTGAGGGTACTTGCTGCCAAGCCTGGCAACCTGAGTTCATTCCCTGACCTCACACACACAGGAAGGAGAGAACTGACCCCAACAGGTAGGTGGTTCCCTGACCTCCACACACACGCTGTGACACACATGTACCTCCCAAACAAATGTGACAAAAGAGTTTTGTTGACCCTCCCACATATCTATCTCATCCTTCACATCCAGTGGCTATGGATGGGTTCTGGTTGTGTGCTCTCCCCTGGGCTGGCTCCCTTCCCCGGCAACTGACTGTCACAGCCAGGTGTCCGGATGCTGGGAATGCTCTCTCTGCTCTCTGCTCCCACTCTGACCATGACTCATAAAGCTGCCTTTGGCCCCAAGGTGTGGTAAACATCTTCTCTGCTACTTACACTGAATGAAGTGCCTTTAATATCTTATCTGATGTGCTTTGGCATGTCTGATTTATTTATTTAAATATTATTTGTTCTCCAAATACTAAATGAAGATTAACTGTGATTAGTGTTTTGTGGCTAACAGTTGTTGGTGACTGGTTGAGCAGCTGTGCATTCTGATGCCCTGGAGATCTGCCACTTCCATATCATTAAGGACTTTAGTTATTGCTCCTGGTTAGGTGTGTGTATCTCCCCCTTTCTCCCTCCTGCCTTTCTTCCTAGTTCCATCTTGAATCCTTGGGATCCAGGAAGCCAAGTGCCTTCTACTGTCTGTAGAATGCATGAGGAATCTCTTAAAAGCCTGTGCTAGCCATGTAGTTACATTTGTGCTGGTCCCAGGTCCAAACCCAGCAAAGGGAAGAAGTACAGTGCTGACCCCTCCTCTAGCGACATCACCCAGGCCTGGTGCAGAGGCGCTCTGCTCAGATGTATGCCTGTTTGATTGTGCACACCAAGTTTAGCTTGCTAGTTGAAGCTGAACAAGGAAGAAGGCTGCACATCGCCCATCTGCTTAAAATGTACACACAAATCTCACAGGATATAGACGGGAGTTTGCCAGTGGTGTGATACAATTCCACTTTCGGCTCTCAGAGACTCTGTAGAATGAGGGACTCATCAGCTCTTGAGGTTTTGTGGAGAACTGGTGCATTCATCTCAGAACTGTTCTCAGAGAACACACGATTTCTTCACAAAATGGCAGTTAAATGTGTGCTTTTAACATTAAAAACATATAGTAAGTTCTTGAAACCCCCCGATTGGTATCCCATTATAGCAGTTGTCCCTTAGTTTATTCACTGAATTAATCAATTGATATGGTTTAGATGTGGTCATATCAATTGATTAATTCAGTGAATAAACTAAGGCAGATGTGGCCTCTGCCATGATAGGCTTATTATCTGAGAATATCCATGAAACCTTAGCATTCTTCAGTTTGAAACACTTAGTCAAAGAGTTGTTCAAGAACGTTCTATTATGAATGGCATGTGATGAGAAAAAAATGGATGTTGTTTTTACTCTTTGTATTTATCTTAAGCAAAAATGATTGACTACACTTGTCCAGCCATTCCCACTCCCCCACAGTGATTATTAGTTTTCACTTGGTAGGCTATATATGAGGTATGGCCAAGAGAGAGAGACAGCAAATGTGTCTAAGAGCTAATGGTTTACAACAAGGCCAGCGACATCTCATATAACCCAGGCCCACCTGCCCAGGGATGGTGCTGCTCACCATGGGCTGGGACTGCCTACGTAGATCAACAATCAAGAAAGTGCCCCACAGACATTCCCACAGGGCAATCTTCTGAGGCAACTCTTCACTTGAGAGTTCCTTTTCTCTGATATATCCAGTTGGTAATTAAGATTAGCTGTCTCAGCCAGAAATAATGGTGGCAGGCTGTGGTGATGTAGGGCTTTAATCCTAGCACTGGAGATGCAGAGGCAGGCCGATCTGTGTGAGTTCTAAGCCATCGAGGGATATAGAGTAAGACCGTGTCTCAAAAAGTGGGAGGGTGAGAGGGAGATCTATTTATTGTTGTTTATCATTCTTCCTGGTGGCAGAGGATCTGGAAATTGAACCCAGGAGCTTACACAAATAACACAGGGGTTCTACCACTCGGCTACACCTCTAGTCTACAACATTGTTGCTTAATTTTCAGAAAAACTATGATTTGGAAAGAGGCCCTGATGAGAAACTGGATGAAAATCTGCACTTGGACTTAAGAAATGGGCCCCAGAGCCTCCCCTGGACAAGGAGAGTCTACGAGTTCTACAGCGCCCCCTTTGTCAAGTTTTGTTTTTACACGGTTGGTCTCATTACGACTGTGTTAATGATAATTAGTAGCTTATGACAATGTTACTAATGGTATGTCTCATTGCTAACCTGAGATAAAAATGTAGGAATTTCATTTAAAAAAAATGAAAGGGAGGATAACAAAGTAGGCAGGTGGGAGGGTTGGAAGGAGACAAGACAAGTGTGTGTGTGTGTGTGTGTGTGTGTGTGTGTGTGTGTGTGTGTGTATGTGTGTGTGTGTGTGTGTGTGTGTGTGTATACACTTTAAGTTCCCAAATGAGCATCTCCCTTTTCTCACTCCCCCTGGCATCCTGGTTTATTTTCTTTTTCCTCTTGTGTTTAATTTGGCATTGACTTTCACTATAAGCCCTTCGCAGCCTAGAACTGCCAGGTAGGTGTAGCTTCGGTTAATCTTGAATGCAGTAGTGCTCCCGTCTCTGCCTCCTGAATGCTGGGATTACAGGTGTGAGACCATTCTCAGAGTGTGTTTTTCTCTGGAAGTGCTTAGACTCAGCACAGCCAAGACTGACATTTGGAATGTTTAGGTACAATGAACTCAACAGCCCCGAATGTAGAATTGAATGGTAGCTGGTGGGTTATTTTCCTTTTTCAGGCAAAATAAATAAGTAATAAATAAAAAATATCAGTTGAATCAATTGTTTTGTAAGAAAATACCTTTTGGTTTGCCTTCAATAACATATGATTTGACTGTAAGAAGACTATTGAGAACATTAGTTGTGAGATCACACTCTGATCTGCTGTGGATAGTGGCCATTCAGAGAAAGCATACATGTATTGAGCATTTCTCACATTTATTTGGTAGCATTTATTTTTCTAATGTTTATCTATATTTAGATCTATATTGATCGCAGCCAATGTTTTGTATTCCAAAAAACATTTGAAGTGTGACTATAACAGGATGTCTATCTAAATATACATAATATTAGCATGTCAGGATATTGACTTGGCAGCCACGTACTTGGTACACATAATAAATATACATCTCTGGATGACAATTATCTGTTTCTAAACATCAAGTCTAGGACTGGGGTGATGGCTCAGTAGGTCAAGTGACTGCAGCACAAGCATGAAGACCCAGGTTCGGATCCCCAGCATCCATGTGAAAAGCTTGGCGTGGGGTAACGTTTCTGTGATCCCAGCACTGGGAAGGTAGAAACTGGCAGATTCCCTCCAGCTCACTGGCCAGTCCGTTCAGCTATATCAGTGAGTTCCAGGTTCAGTGAGCGTCCATGACTCAAAAGTTGAAGCAGAGGTGGTTCAAAAAGATGGCTCCAAGGCAAGAACACTTGCTGCTGGCTTGACAACCCGAGTTTGACCTCAGACCCTACAAGGTGGAAGGAGAGGACTGACTCCCACAGTTGTCCTCTGACTTCCACATGTGTGCTGTGGTCTGTGTGGACATGCACTCAACACTTTGCCTGATACCCGGTAGACTATGTTAACTGTTGTATATTATACCTAGAATACTAATCTCTTCATTTGTACATATTTATATAGGGCTGTGTTTGTGCAGCTGTGCATGCATGTATGTGAAGGCCAGTGGTTGACATCACTTGCTATCCTGCATTTCTTTCCACCTTCTTCCTCCTCCTCCTCTTCCTCCTCCCCCTCCTCCTCCTCTTCTTCTTCTTCACATTTATCATCTATCTATCTGTCTGTCTATATCTATCTATCTATCTATCTATCTATCTATCTATCTATCCATCTATCTATCATGAATGTGTGTGTGTTTGTACATGCAAGGATCCTTAGAGTCCATAAGACAGTTCCAGATACCCTGCAACTTGAGTTACAGGCAGTTGTGAGCTGTGCTGGGAACTGAATTCAGTTGCTCAAGGAAGAGCAGCATGTGCTCTTAACTGCTGAGCCATCTCTCCATCTCCTTAGCCAGAATGACATTTTAATCATTATAAAATAACACTCTAGTGGAGTGAATGTCAGCTTACTGTGAAGATAGGCATCCACTCACACTGTTCATCTGGCAATCTTGGCATACGTATTTTCCAAGTTAAAACTAGAGGGAAGGCATGGGATTCTCTCCTGGTCTGCTACTAGCTTGCCAGTGTGCATGCTGCAATAGTTAGTGCTTATAGGATAGCATCTCTTCCCTTTACTGGCAAACTGCGATTTTCATTCCTAGACTGTAGATACTTATGTTTTCCTTGACGTCGAGTCATCAATGACCAGAAGTTGGTCCCAGTTATATTTTCATGTTGTCATGTAGAAGTATGCTTCTTCTGGGCTCTGTCTGCAGAGCTCTGCTTGGCATCCTTCATGGTCACTTGAGCTCACCTCCAGGGAATGTGTGTCCCTCACAGATGGCTTACTTGGCATTCCTCATGCTGTTCACTTACACAGTGTTGGTGGAGATGCAGCCCGAACCCAGTGTGCAAGAGTGGCTTGTCATCATTTACATCTTCACCAATGCCATTGAGAAGGTCAGGGAGGTGAGTGCTCCTTCTGTGTCTTCTGCGCACCTCTGGAAGAGCTGTTCTAGGCCCTGGGGATGAAAATGGACTCACGCCAAGTGTGTGAAGGGGAGAGAGCATATTGATTCCAATTTTGCTATAAGAAGGTTGCTCAGGAGAAAGTTTCTGATTTCCTTCCTTTATCCTTACCAAATACTTTCTGCTGAACTTTGAAAACAGCCATTTGAAGCACAATCTTATTGTGTTTATTACTCAAGGCACAATAGGCAGTGCCCTCGATGTGTTATTGCACCCTCCAGCTGTTTGCTTCCCATAATGTAGCTTTCTTTGCGACATGGATTTTTAATCACCTAGCCTTCCCCACATATTGTCAGTTTTACCCAATAGAGTGACACATGAATGGCTAAGGTTGCATAATATGTAAGAAATACACTCACAGCATAAGGAAGTTCCTAGTAAACACCCTTGAAACCTGAAGCCGGATATCCTTCTGGGAGAAGTAGTTCAAGAGTTGAGGAAACAAAACTAAAAACATTTTCATTTCTACTTTGCCACTGATCACTTAAAAGTTAGCACTCTTAATGCAATTATAAGTATAATCCCAAATAGTTATGACTTTGACTGTCCTAGCTATGTGTGCATGTTCTGTGTGCCTATACATTTGTTTTGTTCCAGTGGTAATTTGGCCAACATTCTATGCTAAGTAAGCATCTTCTTAGAAACTATACTGCATTGTCTGCTAATGAAGTTTATAGCAGAGAAACACTATCTGAATTCTACCACGATTTTTGTATTTTAGGGAAAACAAGCTTACTGTTTACATTACAGTGTGTCTGCCATAGGGTTGCAAGGGAAGTTTCTTATACTAGCCAGTTCCAACATCATGTTCTTTGTGGTTTGCCAAGAGCTCACTCAGAAGCAGCTGTAGCACCAGCTCACAGGACTGCTGGGTTTCTAGTCAGTATTCTTCATCCTCAGCTCATGAAGCAGAATCATAGTTAGGCAGAGCCGCCGCAGTGCTGAGCTCTGAAATGCCCTGGTGCTGATGTAAAATTTGGTAGAAATTGGTTAACTCTTTAAATATGGGTTAATTGATTTAAAAAGATACTATTGATGGTATTCCCCTCCAGCTATGATCTTGGGGCTTGAACCCAGGGTCTTGTGTGTTGGAGGCAAGTGCTCTATCACTCTACTCCATTCCCAATCCTGTACCCTTCTTCAAATTTTCCTCTTTCTCCCTTTAGATATGCATTTCAGAACCAAGCAAGTTTACTCAAAAGGTGAAGATGTGGCTGAGTGAATACTGGAACCTCATAGAAACTGTGGCTATTGGCCTCTTTTCCATTGGCTTTGGCCTACGGTGGGGACACCCCCCTTTGCATACTGCAGGAAGACTCATCTACTGCATAGACATCATATTCTGGTTCTCTCGGCTCATGGACTTCTTTGCTGTGAATCAACATGCAGGTCCGTATGTGACCATGATTGCAAAAATGGTATGTAAGTCTCATTTTATACATGAATGTCCCCTTTCGGTGGCTCCACTGTCATGTTTCCTAACTCATACTTTAGCTTTCTCTCCTGTGATGTTTGCATGTATCCATGTTTGTTTGTGGGTGTCCTCACCTGTGTTTGCCTGTGGAGAGGGCAGAACTTAGTGTTGGGTGTCTTCCACTATTGCACTTGGCTTAGTTATTTTTCTATTGCTGTGAAGAGGCAACATGACTAAGGCAACTTATAAAAAGAAATAATTTAATTTGGGGCCTCATGCTTCCAGGGGATTAGAGTCCATGGCCATCATGGTGGGGAGCAAGGCAACAGGTAGGCAGGCACGGCACTGGAGCAGTAGCTGAGAGCTGACATCTGATCCACAAGCATCAGGCAGACAGAAAGCTAACTATGGTAGGGGCTTTGAAACCCCAAAGCTCACTCCCAGTGGCACACCTCCTCTGTCAAGGTCACATCCTTCCAAAACAGTTCCACCAACTGGGGACCAAGCATTCAAATATGTGAGCCTATAGGTGCTATTCTCATTCAAAATGCCATCACTCTTTATCTCAGTTTTTGAAACAGATGCTACTTACTGAACTTGAAGCTCACTGTTTAATCTAAACTGGCTGGCTAGGGAATTCCCAGAACCCAGACTATGCCTGGCTTTTAAATGCTTTCTGGGAATCTAGTCTCAGGTCCAGCAAGCATTTTAACACCAAGCCATCTCCCTAGCCCACTAGTTAAATGTTGGAATTGTTTCTAGAGGCGTATTGACTCATTTCTGGCTAACCATAAACTTGTATGTAAAATAGGCCTGGACAGCACGCTAGGTAGTTAGTAGGAACACTTAGTTTAGCCTTTTGTGAGGGCGGGCCATATGAGATTGAGTCACACTGGTCCTTGATTTGTGTAAGGCTGCCACCAAGAATGTTTCTCTGAAAGTGCTCACTCATTCTTTTGTCACTCACTCTCTCTTACTCTTAAGTGGTACTCACTGTGCACTGCACACTGGACTCTGTGTTTTGTACATATTAACTCACAGTGTTTGTAGCAACTTAATGAAATAAGTAGTATCATCTACTTTTTATGTACAAGGAAATGAAAATTAAGTAAGTCCCTCATGAACATATGTCGGGGATCCAGGCTCCCACAGTGGGCGGCCTGACTTTAGTTTATGCACTGAGCTTGCTGAACATTGTGCCAGGTTTTGCAGTCTGGAATTTTGAAAGTACCCAGCCATCTGCCCTCTAGACATACAGCATGAAGATTCTACTGGCATTTGTTTCTAGAATACAAGGAAAGGTCATGTTCTGGAGGGTCAGGGGTAGTGCAGAAAGGGGGAGACAGAGGGAGAAGGACCTGCAGAGCCTCAAGATGGACCTTGCTGCTTCTGCTTCCCTCTCTCTCCCCTCCCCTCTTATCTTCCTCCTCCTCTTTCTCCTTCTGGCCAGACTGGGGATTGAACCTAGGGCCTCATGCATGAGAGACAAACACTCTACTGCTGAGCTCCAGCCCAGCTCTCAGATTTTCTCTTCAACCATAAATGCATCCTCTGATTTTGGTAATGTCACATCTCTGAGAGGAGCTATGTGAGATAACTAGTACATCTCAGTGATTCGGCACAAGGTCTTTTCTCTCTGAAGCCAGGTATGATAGGTTTTCTAATTACTGACTACAGGATGCAGAATTTCTCCTTTGTGGCATGACCATGCCACTTACCCCTTTCCGGGGGCTGCTTTGGCAGCGACAAGGGTGATAGTTGAGTTTAGCACTGTTTAACAGCCCAGACAAAGTCACTGTTGTCGCTCTCCAGACTATTGGCTACTGGGATCTTGTAGTCACCACGTAATAAGATGAGAAATGTGGAGAAAGTGGAAACGTTGGTCACTTCCAAGTCTGCCACATTGAGCAAGTGGGTTGAGTTGGTGTATTTTACAAGATGGAGGGAAACTGGTGTAATCAATTCCCAAGATACTACATGGCTCTGTGAGTTCTGGGAGATAATTCTGGGAACAGTCATTGGAATAATTTGAATATACCTTGTCCTTTTAAAATATTATCTAACCAACTCTTTGATTTAATTGATCAAAAGTTGGGTACAAGCCAGTCCAAAAAAAAAAATAAAAAACCCAGCTAATATTTGATGGCTGCTTATAGAAAAAGTCTCTGTTTGTAGTTTCTGCATATCATGTGACTCCATAGATGTCATTGTGTAAAGGATATACTGTGCAGAGACAAGAAAATAACTTAGCCCGAGAAAACTCAGCTGTTTTGGATGGAGGCATTTCAGCCAGTGACTAGACTGTCTAGCTATCTGTAAGTGTGTAGTGACGACTGCTAGGGCTTGATGTGTGGTAAACTCTGGTTGTGCTGTGCTGTTTTGCAGGCAGCAAACATGTTCTACATTGTGATCATGATGGCCATTGTCCTGCTGAGCTTTGGTGTGGCGCGAAAAGCCATCCTCTCACCCAACGAGCCTCCTTCATGGCGCCTGGCTCGAGATATTGTATTCGAGCCATATTGGATGATGTATGGAGAAGTCTATGCTTCAGAGATAGATGGTACATATGGGGTTTGCCCTCATGCAGAAATAGAACCCTTATAGATACTCAGAGCAAAAATGAATCTGGAAAGTATTCATGAGAATATTTTAAATGTGTGAAGTATGTGGCATTCTATAAAGTTAAGGGGTCAAATATTTGTCGAGGGCCCCAGGGCTGTGATTTGTCTTATCCTACTCTTGAATTCTTTGTAGTTTGCGAAGGTGAAACTTCTTGCCCTCCGGGTTCTTTCCTGACTCCATTCCTGCAAGCTGTCTACCTCTTTGTTCAGTACATCATCATGGTGAACCTGCTGATTGCCTGCTTCAAGTAGGTAACTTTCATTAACTAAGATTCTTTTGTTTACCAAACTATGGGAGCAGCTGCATTGAGTATATTCCTATGCATGTTGCATATATGACCTTTGCTGACGTGTGTCCCATGACATATTACTGTGCCTTTAAAGCAAGGACATGAAATTATTGGTAGGAAAGAAGTCAAACTCTTAGACCATAAAATAGTGGAGGTCATAATGGAAGTGTGGAAGAGGAGATCTGAGCTGTTGGAGTCCTGTAGAATGAGGGTTGGAGCTGATGGCTCCCTAAGGGCTCCATCTATGTGTGCTTTCCCCACATGGCCCCTGTCTGTCCCACTTTTGCCCAATCTCCCTTTCTGGCTCAACTTGTCCGTTTCATATTAAAAAGATCTTGGGCCTAGACCTTTGGCCTTTTCCTTTTTCTTTTTCCTTTATCATGTTTGTGTTCAGTTTTGTCTGTATCTAGGAAATCCCATTTCTATGTCCAGCTTTGCCAACACTCCAGGCTTATCCATGCACTGACCCTCCCAGTTACAAACTCTTGAGTTCCCCTCTTTCCCAACACAGACTGGTTCCATTTCCAGTTAGTTGTCCACAATCTGTAGGGAAGAAGAGCAGCTTCTCTGGGAAGTCCAACCCACAGTCATTTCCCTCCTCCCCACCTCTTTCTCTTCCTTCTCCTCCCCTTACACCCCCCCCCTTCTCAATATAAAGAACAACACCCTGAGGAACAAACAAGTGTGGCATCTCAGATCTCACTACTTATCTGAGGGGAACCCTGTGAGATAGGTTTCTTACCATTAGAGACCCTGAAATACCTTGTAAATGTCACCACCTGCTGGTGAACAGGCTGAAGTCACCTTGAATAGAAGACATGAAATTGGGACTAGCCTTGAGGGCTTGCAGAACTGCAGACTAATGGCCTCCTCACACTTTCCCGTTCCATAGTGTTGAGATAGAGGCCAAGAACATGCATGATCTCATGCACCTAGGTGATGCTGAGTCCAAGAATGTCCATGTCTGCTTGTGTTTGGGTGATCTGGCATAGAGCCTAAGAATGTCCATGTCCCCATGTATTGAGGTGATACTGAGGCTATGAGCTCAGTGATCAAGCTGAGAACCAGGGTTCTAACCCAGCCCCGTGTCAATCACCCACTTCAAGGGCACTGGAACATGCCCCTCTCAGTCTCATCCTGATCTGGTTCTTCCAAGGATAGTCATGGCTTCTCCCAATCATTGGTCAGGTTTTGGTTACCAATGTTTATTTTATGTTATGTTTTTTGGTTACCAATGTTTTTATTGGCTAAATTTGGCTCACATTCTACTCTACCATTTTTTTTTTCACTGAAGAAACTTGATTTTAAAAATGTAAGCAGAATAGGGGAAGGGCTTGGACTTGTCTCTACTGGATGTGCCTCCCCGTGGAACGCCTTGCCTTCTTGTGGGGGGTAGTGAGGGATGGGTTAGGGGGAGGCTGGGGGGGTAGGAGGAGGGAAGAGGGGGGGGGTCTTTGATTGGTGTGTAAAATGAATGAAAAAATTTTCTTAGTAAAAAAAAAAGAAAAAAATTTAAGCAGAATGTTACAATGGTTATTCCATCTGCTACCTCTGGGGTGTTAAATACGTACACAGTTCAGGGTGATAAGTTGTTTTGAAGATCTCTGCTACCTGCTAAAATTTCCATTTGGAGTTATTTAGTGTCAGTGTTCACTGGCTTCTTTTAAAAGTGATGTAATTTAAGAGAAACTCCAGAGTGACCACCAGTAGAGGCTACCTTCACTATAAAGTTAATGTGAATAATTTATCAAGTTCCCTTTGGAAGCTCTGTGTATTGGCGTGTTTGAGGAGAAATTGATTCTTCTCTCCTATGTCTTTATTCATATGACTCTGTTGCAATGTTTCAGCTTAGAATTATTCTTGCAGTTCTTGTGATGTCTGTGAGGGATGTCTTTATAAGGCCAGTATCACAGAGGAACATCGCACTTGCTTCCAATGAAGGATGAGTTACCTTCTGGAGAGGAGCTTCATCTATGAGAAGTGAAGGTGCCCCAGAGGCAGTGCTGAGTGAGACAGGGCATTTCTGTTCCCTGCCTAAAATGCTGTCACTTTTCTGATCTCTGATTTCAATGCCTGCATTCCAATGAACATACTTTGTTATAAAAAGTGCTTACTGTATTTTTTTATTTGATGGAAGAAAAATCGTAAGAGGATAATAGTTATTGGCTAACTGCTGATGATTGTTAACCAATCAGAAGTGTTGGAAGATAGGGTCTGTCACATTTCTGGGTCCCCTATTAAAATGTTGTCTCTCTCCCTTTCTGCAACCTGTAGCAACATTTACTTAGATATAAAATCCATCTCGAATAAGCTTTGGAAATACAATCGCTATCGCTACATCATGACCTACAACCAGAAGCCCTGGCTGCCCCCACCCTTCATCCTGCTGAATCACATGTGCCTGCTCCTCCAAGGTCTCTGCTGCCGTCCAGCGCCACAGGACCAGGAAGAGGGTGATGTAGGACTAAGTAAGTTTCTCCAGTGGAACAGAAGGAAAGAAGGAAATAAAGGGCAGAGACACAGGGGCTGAAGGAGGGAGGAAAATGGAGGGTGGAGACACTGGAGGCCGGTAATTCCAGTGACAGCACAGCATGAAGGCTCTCAGAGGACAGGCTGCAGACCCTCGCCTTTGCCTGGGGTCTCATGATTATTTTTTGGCTCCGTTAAATGGTCCTTTGAAGGAGAGAAGCAGAGGAGAGAATGTCTTTTGATTGAATGTGAGAAGGCTTTAGACCTTCTAGGAAACCTGGGTTTTCTCTGCTGCTCTGGGAACTCCTCTGAATACTTCTTAGAGAGTAGTCACCTGACTTGTTCTCATTGCCCTGCTTTGTAGAAAAGTGACTCAAAAGGACTGGGATCCAGGGAAACAGAGAAGCAAGCTTTGCCAGAATCACAGCTCTGGCTCCTTAACCTCCTAAGAATGGATGCGGGTCTGAAAAGGATGTTTCTTATTTTCAGAACATCAACATGAAGTGCAGGGATATAGAAATGTGTGGTCTCATTTTGCTTTGTTTCAATCAGGATACTTATATTTTTTTCCCCTGGTGTGAACATGGGAATGTAGGTCTATAAAAGAGGTGCATACTAACAACAAATCACAAAGATGTTTATTTAAAAACTATCCTGGGGGTGGGTGTAGCGATGACTCAACGGTTAAGAGAACTGGCTGTTCTCAAAGGACTTGAGCATGATTCCTAGCACCCATGTTGCAGTTTACGACCATCTGTAACTCCAGTGCTAAGGGATCTAACTCCCCCTTCTGGCCTCTGTAGGCACTGCATGCATGTGATGCACACAAGCAGGCAAAATGCCCATGCACATTAAAAAAAAAAAATCCTTGGGTATCCATTTATTAAAGACAAAGTTAACTTACATAACAATGAGATAGATGTGCTTGTTTTTTTTGACATAAAGAATTTGATGTTGACTATTTGATATTTAATGGTGTAGAGCTTTTTCAGTGTTTGTGGATATTTTGATTTTGTAAATGTCAGTGCTAAGAATCTCTTTGCCTAAATACTTGGTACAAAAGGTAAAAGTTAGAGGAATATAATTCCCAAGCCAAAATTCACTTAGTGACCCTTTTGAAACTCAAGTTAGCAACTTAGATAGCAGATTTTAAAATCACACAAAACACTTCAAAGAGATATTATTTTAGTCTTTTTCTGCTGGGGAGAATACTGCAATTGTGTTGTTTTGATAATTAAACAATTGTGTTTTTATATGAGTAGACAACTTTGTCCTTACAGTAGGGTTCTCCATGTCCCTTACCTGCAGTTGTGTGGAACTGGAGCTGGGGCGTTTTCAGCAGGATTCACTGGGGCTGTCTGGTGTGATGACAGATGCTGTCAAGTATAAGATTGAAGGCTGCAGTGAAGTCTTGTGATACAGCACAGTGAACACTGCCACACACACCTGATGATACAGTGAACACTGCCACACACACCTGATGATACAATGAACACTGCCCCACACACCTGATGATAGATACAGTGAACACTGCCACACACACCTGATGATACAGTGAACACTGCCACACACACCTGATGGTAGATACAGTGAACACTGCCACACACACCTGATGATACAGTTAACACTGCCTCACACACCTGATGATACAGTGAACACTGCCACACACACCTGATGATACAGTGAACACTGCCACACACACCTGATGATACAGTGAACACTGCCACACATACCTGATGATAGATACAGTGAACATTGCCACACACACCTGATGATACAGTGAACACTGCCACACACACCTGATGATACAGTGAACACTGCCACACACACCTGATGATACAGTGAACACTGCCACACACACCTGATGATACAGTGAACAGTGCCACACACATACACACAGTGAACACTATCATACACACCTGATACATGAGTTAAACTTTGGATTGGATGTTTGTTGTTGTGAATTCACAAGCCCTTTTTAATCTTGTTAGATTTTTTTTTTCTATCCTCACACTCAGTTATGTAACCCCATGTGAACTGTGACCCAGTTGAGGAATGTGGAGTCCAGATCACAAGCCTGCATGTTTTGACATTGACATTCTCCAAGTTCATCTTGACTGTGGTCTGACTGCCACACCTGTCACAGGCAGACTTCACTGTTTCACAAGTTGTTTGTAGTTTTTGTCCAGTAGTAACATGATTGGCCTTTTTCTAGATCATTCCTATGTAAACAGGATGTGACAAAGTCACATTCCTTTATCCCAAATGTTTAATTCAAAATGCCTCTGAGGAGCTTGTCTCCAAACCTGGCAATCTGAGTCCGTCCCCCCCACCCCCCGGGACTCACACAATAGAAAGAGAGAATCAACTTCCACTACTTATCTTCTGACCTCCACACATGCACTGTGGCCTGCATGTGAGTACGCGTGCATACACACATGTAAACTAACAGCCCTTTAATCCTACTGAACCAGGAAAGGATTCCATTGGCCAGAAGTGGTCCAGAAACAGGAGCTGGGGTAAAAGCCACTTACTTTTCCATCCCATATAGTATGACTGTCCAAGCACTTTGTTGTAGATTTTGGAGGCTGAAACGGAAGAAGAAAAACTTTGTGAGCTCTAAAGATACTACCGGTTCCAGAAGTTTCGGAAAGGGCCTAGTGCCCTATTTACATGCTCTTAAGGGCTCTGTTATCTCCTGCTATGTGTTGTCCTGGGATTGGAAGGACAGTAAGTGTTCGCTTATGGCACAGGGCCCTCCGAATGGTTTTCTTCCTCTTTGAAGAGTTGCTCTTGGTATTTCTTCTTACGTGGTTTGGCCGTTAGAAGGAAGCCAAGAGCAGGTCACCAGCAGCTTGTCATTCCAGCACTGAGGGGAAGGTGAGCCAGGAGGGTCTTGAATCATGGCAGGCCTGGACTACATAGCAAGATACTGTCTTGAAAAACCCCAAACAACAAACAAACAAGCAGACACAAAGGCGCAACTGAAGCTGAGGTAGAGGCACGCACTTTAAAATTTTCCATTTCTGGTAGACAGCTGATCCTGGCTCTCACTGGCGGTCTATGGAGACCCCGGTACAGTCTGTGACCCCAGGAAAAATCCTCGGGCTAACTGAGACTGGCCAGTCCCTGTGGAGGAGCCTTTATTGGGCTTATAGGATGGTTTCCACAGAAGACTCATTTTTTAAAAAATCATTTATTTATGTATGTGTTATGTGTATAGATGTTTTGACTGTGTGCTAGTTGAGTGCCTGACTCAAAGTTTTCGCTTCAAGGCAAGTTGACTCAGAGCACTAGAACATTCTCTTGGCCTCTTTAAAGAGCTTAAAGAGTGAGCTGACTACATATGGGCCAGCAGTGCCACCTGGTGGATAATTTTAGGAACTGCACACTCCAAGCTGCACCTGTTGGGGGACTCATCCTTGGCGTTTGAGGGAGCAGGTGTAGGGGGCAGAGGGAGCAGGGATTCGCTGCTGGTATATTTCCTGGGCCTGAAAAACTTCATACTTATAGGACATCAGAGATGGGGACTGTGAGAAATGGTCAATTTTTTTTAATGTCTAAAAGATTCTTCCACACTATATAAATCACAAAATACTATGTACTTCAGTTGTGAGCACATTTTTTTTTATAGCTAAACACGTTTTCAAATTGAAACTAGTATCTTATTGCTCATGAATTGGAAAATAAAGAAATTGTTGCATTATTAATAAATTATGGAGAAATGTAATATTTAACTTTCGTCTGACTTAAGTGAAGACATGAAAGAACTTTCCAATTCTGTCCTCTTAGCAACATCACATCCTCTTGATATTTCCCAAGTGTTAGGAACACATTTCAAGGTGATTTCTGATTTCACTCACTGAGAACCAAGGCAGTGTATAAACAGAAATGCTGAGGTTGGATGAAGGCATGCACTGGCCTCAGCACCACAGGGTGAGGTGTTCTTTAATGAGTCAATTACTTCAGGGAAGGTGTGCTGTGCTGACTGGCTATGGCTGGTAGTTCTCAGAGAAAGGACTTAGTCCATCCATACTCAGCCTGACAAGGAAAGACTTCCTCACATGGGCTGTAACAGCATCAACTAACTCTGCTCTTCCATAAACTTCCATAAACAGATTTTCAACTGTAGATTCTATTAGTAGCTAAAGCAGTTGACAGAGAAAAAAGGACAATGGCATTCTTTCTTCAACTGTATATGAATATGGAGAATTTTGGTTAACACACGAAAGCATTGCACACTATGAAAATATTGAAAAGCAAGCTTTTGTCTGTTGACTATAGTCGTCATTTTTAAAGGAGAAGGAAGAGGGCTCAGTCTAGCATTCTTAGATGTTTGCATGTACTGCTTTTCTAAGAGCACAGTGTGACTGTCAAGTGGTGATGCCTATCACATAAGCTACCACTTACTGTTTTCAGTACAGGTGGGAGAAAAGCCATTCACGCCTACCACATGGCTGTCACAAAATACCTGAGGCTAGGTACTTAATAAAGGGAAGAGGCTTACAAATGACCTTTGAATCACCAAGTTTCAACTGCAAACACACTTACATGAGAATTTTGTTTTTGAATATTTGCAGTTATTAAAAACAAAACCTGTAAGACCATACTGGGTGTTGTGACACACACCTGTAACCCAGACTTGGAGAGGTAGAGGAAAGGGTATCTGCAGGTTTGAGGCTAGCCTGAGCTACATAGTAAGACTGTTTCATTTAAAAAAAAAAAGTGACCAAACAAATTTAAAACAGAAAAAGAAAGAAGGAAACAAAACTCTCAAATACCAATTACACAGCATAGAAATTTGAGAAAAATTAAGGAAAAAGGGGGCTAGAGTGATAGTTCAGGCTATAAAGTAATTTCCATGCAGACATGAGGGCCTGAGTTTGTTTCTGGGGACCCACATAAAATGGCTGGGTGTGGCAATGCATTCTTTTAATCCTAGCACTGAGGAGGCAGGGACGGACACATCCCTTGGACTCTGTTGCCATTCAGCCCAGACTAATTGGTATGTTCCAAGCTAGCTAGTGAGAGACCTTGACTTCAGAAACAATCAGAAGTTAGACCTCTGACCTCTGTAATGCATGTGCACACATGTGCCCTCCCATGTTTACCTTCCCAGGCACACAAACACACAGAAAAACGTATATTATGAGTACATAGAATGCATTCATAGACAGTAGTGCATTTTATCATTTTGTACCATAAAATGCAGAAAAACTGTGATCACAGAACATCAGTAGTACCACTTGAAGTCAAGAGAAATGTAAACAAATACAGAGACACAGTATTAAATTGCAGCTGTGTTATATTAACTATGGCAGTACTGTGACACTTCATAGCCACTTTCTGCTGCCCCCTTGATGAGCTAAAGTTCTTTTGCTGAAGACACCGTGTGATGCTCATCACTGTGTGAGCAGTTCATCTGCTTCCCCAGTGCTGGGATTAAAAGAATGTACCCCCACCCCAAGTCATTTTATGTGGGTTCTGGAAATCAAACTCAGGCCCTCATGCCTGCATGGCAAGTATTGTTATAGACTAACCTATCAGTCCAGCCCCCCCCCCCCCCCCGCCATTACTTTCTTAATTTTGAAAAGTTAAAAAGTGATTTCTCACAATTTCATCATATATAATACATATATCATGTAAAGACTTCTCGATCACCTATACCATTTCTATAGTGTCTGGCCAATGTAGATTGTTAGGAAACCCAATTTTCTATGCAGATTTGTGACAGCAAGCACATCAGCACCTGTAGCTCCATCATTCAAGGATCTACTGTGTTTGGAGGCTGAAATTCCGAGATTGTAGTCTCCTTCTGGCCAGCTTCTGGTGATGGCCTTCTAGTCCCATCATAACATGGACATGCCATAACGTGGACGGGTTCCTGTAGTGCAAGGGTATGAGGCAGGGAAGGGGAGATGAGGTGGGGAAGGGAGCAAGAAGGGGAATGGAGAGCACTGCTTGGAGAGATGTGAGGCAAGAAAGCGGGAGATCTAGGAGTGGCTAGCTTGATGTGACCAGTCCCTTAGTCCGTTCCTGAGATGGTCCCCACGGTCTAGATATTGCCCACCATTTCAGCACCACCAGTGGATCAAGCTTCCAGCACATGAACCATGGGGGACACAATCCACATCAGTAAGTGGCACACCCCTTACCAGCTCCCCAAGCACGGCCCTTTGTATGTGTTGTGCTTATTTCCACAGAGCTCTACCTTACTGAGGAGGACTTGAAAAAGCTTCATGATTTTGAGGAGCAGTGTGTGGAAAAATATTTCCATGAGAAGACGAAAGGTCTGAATTGTAGTTTTGAGGAACAAATCCGAGTGACATCAGAAAGGTAAAGTATATTTCTTTTTAGTTCCAAAGCTGCTACCAAGTCATGATTGTTCTAGAATGTCTAAAAAAATAGAATGACTCACTTTCAAACCCCAGAGGTCTGAGCTCTGCACAGTTTGAAGCATGTATTGCAGTATGATTTATGTAATCAGTATCTATTTATTGGACATTACTATGTTCTGAATAGTCTTCTACTTCCAAGGGATCAGGGGAGACAGGAGACAGGACTCTCTGACTGACAGACTTTCATTCCAGTGTTTGTAGGTGAAAGGGTTAAGGGAAATGGAGGAGTGGAAAACACAAGGTAATCAAGGAAGCAGGCCAAGGAAACCTGCACATCAGTGTCTATCAGTAATAAAAGCTATGAAGAGTTGGGCGTCCTGGTGCACGCCTTTAATCCCAGCACTTGGGTAGGCAGAGGCAGGCATATCTCTGTGAGTTTGAGGCCAGCCTGCTTTACATAGTGAGTTCCAGGAGAGCCAGGGCTACAGGGTGAGACCCTATGTTGAAAAATAAAATAAAATAAAAAAGCTGTGGAGAAAATAAAGTAGTTGGGGCTGGAGAGATGGCTCAGAGGTTAAGGCTGCTCTTTCAGAGGTCCTGAGTTCAATTCCCAGCAACTACATGGTGGCTCACAACCACCTGTAATGAGATCTGGCGCCCTCTTCTGGCCTGTAGGCAGCATATACATATATATATACATATACACATATGTATACATAATAAATAAATAAATATTTGAAAAAAAAGAAAATGAAGTAGTTTCAGGATAAAGGAGAGATGGAGAAGAGATAACTTGCATCATGTGGTTTGGATTGTTCTGCTTCACAGAGCTTGGTCCAGAGAGGCTGCTGTGAGGAGTTGGAAGAAGAGAAGTCTCGAGGAGACAAGGGAGGTAGCCAGCAGGGCCACATGGTGGAATGTTGTCCTCACAGAAGTGACACCCACAGTCACTGCAGGTTATGTGCTGGTCCAGCAGCAGCTGCAGATCCCAGCAGGAGAAGGGCAGTGGCTAGCAGACAGGGTGGACTTCTGTAGCAGGCCCTGGTCAGCATTTGCTGGTCATGTGGCTGGAGACAACTCCACTGCCCAGGAGAGAGAACAGGAGAGGTTGAGTCAACACCAGTGACAGCTTAGGTGAGCCGGTTGACTGTGAAGAGAGAGAGAAAAAAAAAAAGACTGGGGGTGAGGTGGGGACATGGTGAGCTGCCTTTGTTATGTATGGAAATGACAAAATAAATTTGTGTGCTTCTGGAAGTGATCTTGCCTTGGTTTTTACCACAAGAAGCCAGGATAGAATATGGGCAATGGACAAGCCTACGGAGGGTCTGTAGTGAGAACACAGGTACTTGAGGCAAAGCTGTGGCTGAGGGTGCTTGTGGTTCCTGAACTTTCTGGAAGCGGGCCATTCAGAGGTTTGAGCAATGAGGACAGACGTGTTGGAGAACAGGAATGTATTAGGAAACTAGTGGATGTGTTACTATTATAATTGCATATGTATGGCATTGTGTTGAAGTGTGGAAGTGTGCACATGATTTTATGGACTTTTAAAAACAGAATTGTTCTTGTAAGTAGAAGCAAATTGACACAATATGTCCCTTCACTTTTGAACATACATGAGACTGACTATAGAACGTTTAATCTAGTTATATATGTTTTTTTCTGATGCCCCCAAATCATATAGACAGATGTGACTTCTTAGACACAACCTCACTTTTTTTTTTTTTAAACTTACTCTAGGGACTTTCTAAATGGCTTACAGTAGGCATGTCATATTTTTATAATCTTGTACTTTTTCTGTTGATAATATATTTATATAAATATGTGTTTATGTTGCTGGTTGAACTTCAGATCATATTAAATTTTGAGAAAATGGTGATTGTGGACCCATAATTTATCTCCATAGTCTCTTTAGACCATCACCATTTGAACTTCCTCTCTCCTCCTGCGTACTCTCTCTCGATAGCTCTGCTTCTGCAGCACCGTGGGCCTGCTGGACTTTGTGTGATGTGTCTGCTCTTCTTAGAAGCTGGCAGAGCCAGGCCTCAGCTCTGCTTCTACCCCTGTAACTGTATGTGCTTGGGAAAATTTATCGAACTGCTCTGAACATTAGTTTTCTTATTTGTGACATAGACGAGAACATAGGCCAATCACTTAGAGCTGTGTGGATCAACCTGGGTAACAGGGATGAACTATTCATGAACAGGTAGAAAGACACAGTGTGTGGATCAACCTGGGTGACAGGGATGAGCCATGCATGGCTGTGGAGAAAGATACATTGCTACTTATTTGGAAAAATCAGTCACAAGTTAGGAATAAAATTCCTTTTGAAGTACTATATTTGTTACTTCTCATTGCGGTGACAAAACCCTGACAAGAAGCATGTTAAGAGATGAAGGACTTTTTTTGCTCCCAGTTTGAGGGTGTTACACCTCACAGAAGAGAAATCATGGATGGCAGCAGGGGAGCGAGGCAGCTAGTCACATGGTATCCACAGTCAGGAAGCCAAGAGATGAATGTTGGTGTCCAACTTCATTTCTCCTTTTTAGTTCAGTCTCGGACCTCTGCCCATGGGATGGTGCCACCAACATTCATAATGGCTCTTCTATAGTTGGAACTCTCTGGAAACAGTCTCAAAGGTAAACCCAGAGATATGTTTCCAAGGTGATTCTAAACCCTGTCAAATTGATGATCAGCACTGATCATCATAAATACAAATTCCCCTTTAAGACCTGGAGAGAGATAAAGAAAGGCCAGAGCAGCTCTGGCTGGGATTATGAATGGAGGCAAAGTCAGGGAGAGCTCCTCACTCTACCTATGCTGAGGAAGGGGTCTAGGCACTCTGATATGGGAAGGCTTGTCAGCCTGGTAGATTTGAAGGTGAATTTGTTGGGGTCCAGGGATGCCAGGGGAGAGAAGGTGTGTAGCCCAGGCTGTGGCCATGGGATGGAACAAAGGGACAATTCATGAAGCAGAGTAGGGATCGGGTGGAGTGGAAGGGCCGGATGGAGCCCAGGTGGCCTCTCAGATCCACACAGGTGGAGCCCTCAGGGAAAGATGGCCTCGTTAGGAGACGGTTTATACAAATGTGTAGAAAAGCAACAGGGCTCGTATTTATTGAGCACGTGACTCACGGGACCCAACCACAGACATCCACACAGAGGAATGAATCTGAAGGCCCGGGCAACTTGAAACTGGAGCAAGAGAGGTCTGTGGGTGTCTGCTGTCAATCCCAGTGGGGAGTGTGACAGAGAAGAGAAGTCGAATGAAGGTAGCTAGTACCAACATCTGCAGATGGGGAAGGAGAGGGACAGAGGAGACTGGGAAGGCAAGGCCCAGGGAGTGCAAGTGGTGTTCACAGCGGGTAGTGATTAGAAGTCTTGGCAATGCTGAGTGTGTACCTGGGTACCAGGGATTCTAGCAAGTACTTCAGTGGTGATGGTCCTAAGACCTTCCGTCCTCTAACCCTCATGCATCATCTTTCTCTTGAACGTGAGAACTCAAGAACCCAAGGGATTTAGAAACAAGTACTTCAGTGGTGATGGTCATAGTATGTCCCATCCCCTAACCCTCATGTGATACTTCATTTCTCTCAGACTTGAGGGGTGGCTAGATGCTAAGTGACTGTATGGCTCCTGGAAAATAGGGATACTTCTAAGGGGTTTAGAACTTGGCTCTGAATTTCTAATAGAATTTCTCCCGATGATCGTGTTTTCTTACTAGATGACTTTATATTGCCATCCTTGTTGAGGCCATTTTTGGGGAGCTCATAAATGAGGGGTGCTAGGAAAGTGACTGAGCAATGGTTTTAAGAGGTAATATAAGGAGATCTTAGAAGTCATTGCATGTTTGCCTAAGCCCAAAGGAGGCATTAAACAACTACCTTCTAGAATGAAATGACTTTGGGGTGTGAACAGAGGGCAAGTGTTTGCCAGATTTCCTTTCTCTCTGGTCTGTGGAGAGAGATGCCTGTGGTATCTTTCCCCTTTCAGCACATTCAGCACTGTATTTGGGAAGTGCCATGGTTATTACAATTTGTGGAAGCTTCAGCACGATGCACACCCTGATTCCACTGTGCAGCCTTAACCTTAGCAAATTCATGTCTGGCTGAGGCTCTATTGAGCAATATCTGTGAGCACCTCCAGGGCCTTGTGCTTCGGGGAGGATTCCCCAGAAAACTGTGCTTTGATCCCAGATGATTTGCTGAGGGGGCTGGCTGGCTGCAGTGGTGGATCAGATGTCGACTGTCTGGCTTGATGCCCAGCCACGTGACATTGGATATGTGACCTAACCCCTTTTCTGTGAAGGGATTGATAGTCATGCCCACCTCACAGAACTATGATGCAGTGAAAGAAAACAGTATGAGTAGAACCTTCCTGTAATGCTTTGCTCATAGCGAGCACTCTATGGCAGGACTTTCAGGCTGATTATAATTGTGTTTCTTATTATCTCATTTTTAAGAATGTTGGCTAATGGCCCCACAGGTAAAACAGTCACCAGGCCTCCACTCAGACCTTGCACAGAGGAAGCTGCAATAGTAAGAATTTGTTTTATGTGTCAGAATGACTGAAAAGCTACATTGAATTAATGCAGCCAGTGGTCTAGGAATATAATTAAAATACGCTTCACAGGACACCGTGTTTTAGAAAATGAGCCCCTGTAAAAAGCAAGAGGGCCATTTCAGGCGACCAGGTTATTTGTCTAACAGGTTTCTATTGTAGTGTACCACCTGTTGCTGTGAATAGTGGCTGGATTCTATTGTATCCATTCGATGCGTCTGCAGCTAATGGAACTTAATGAGTCTCCATTACCACTGCTCAGACTGTACTGTTTTTGAATTAGATGAAACAGGGCACTGGATGGAGACGTTCCAATTAAGCATATTTGGAAGGAAATATACATATACTTTGTGCTCTTTCCTACACCGTCCTTGCCAGTTCGAACATTTTAGGTTTCAGAAGGTCAGCAAGCGTGCTTTAAGCCACCGGTGAGTTACAGAAG